GAAAATCAATCTGTAAAACACTTTAGAAAACATAAATATGAGATTAGAATATTCTGCAAATTCGTATGCTAGATAAAGTAAGCAAATAGATTTGCTAATCGATTCTTCATTTATAACTTCAAATTTATTTTCACCTACAATTCTTTTGGATGGTCTTCAACAAAACTTATAAATTGTTTCTTACATAACATATTTTATGTTTTTTTTTTGGTTTTTATAGCATTCAGCAAGACAGATAGGAAGTCGACACCTTTAAAGAACGTCATTATAATTCAGTGTTAAAACATATTAAAAAACTGAGAAGTCTTCTTCCATTTTCGTATTACAGTAGATACAGACTTTTCAGATTAATGAACAAAAACAAATATATCGTTAAACCTAATATTCTGTAAGCTGAGTAGTTAGTATCAATACATATCACTATTGTGACTGTACGATGATAAAAAAAAACTAATTTAAAAAAAAATTAATTTACATATTGTCTCTCCAAAATTAAAACTATATGCCTAGAGTTTCTAAATGTCTTCTGTCTTGTATAATCTGGGAAAAAAACGCATTAAATAACAGCCAAAATAACAAACAATTTCACAAAGGATATACATAAACCGCACTAAAAAGTATAATATTGAGGCTAAATAGACAAAGCCGAAAGAGAAGGCTTGTATGATTAATAAGCTTGCATTTAAGCTTATAAGGTACATTAATGCATCTAAAATAATTGTTTACGTGACCATTGTATCGTGACGCACGCGATTCCTCGAGTATCGGAGCGAGAGAAAGAAAAAAACTCAAAATGAGGTTATCCGAGAACGGTATATCACAAAAAGTAGGGTGTCTTGTGGCAGGGGTTGTGAGCCTTATATGTTGTTATTTATAAGTAATATTATTGATATGATGATTAGAAGAAGTACTGAAACACGTTTGGGGTTTAAATCTTGAGCATCTTGAGGGATGAGAAGTAGACGACTAGGTACCATAATTCAGCCCTTTTACGTCCCACTGTTTGGTACTGGCTTTTGTTTAATGCGAGAAGAACAACGTCAAATACCACTACGTTAGACTAATGAGGGCCTTCATATGTCTTTCGACAACTAGTTAGGTTCTCTCATGCGATTTTCATCACGATGTATTTCTTCACCGTATTAGTAAAACAGTACCTGGGCTACCGAGATTTGCTCGGAGTTTTGGCTAAAAAAACATTTAAAAAAAAACAAACAAAAATTTGTATAAATAGAAAAAAAAACAAAAGTAAAAACTTTGTATCCGACCGGGATACGAACCCAGACACCTGTGGTTCTCACTTGTCAAACTTGCGCCTTGGCCGCTTGACCACGATGCTTATGTCTATGCTATGCTTATGTTCTAGCGTGCGAATGCGAAACAAAACCCCATGAAAACTCGAAAACACGCGTTTTCCCACACATAAAACAAATCTAGATCGATTTATCGCCCCCGAAACCCCATGTATACTAAATTTCATGAAAATCGTTAGAGTCGGAGAAGTTTATACTATGTGTATTATGTATATTATATTTTTAATACTTAGCGGCTTTCTTGAATGTTCATGATATGACAACAACATTAAAGTACCTACTATTAGTAATAAGAAGTACCAATAATATTATTGTAGCAAATTAAATTTTGAATCTGCAAACACCGATTTCACAAGCTGCTAAGGGAAGATTATAATATAAAAATTTTGCTGTGGCAATTTTTTGTAAGCAAAATGCTTAAGAAATAAAAGACCCAACCGTATTTTCACCAAAATTGACTTCGTCTACTTTCGTAATAATTTAGTATAAATGATTTTTATATAATTTAATTATAGAGCTACCTACATAAAGGTAATATAAATATATTATAGCATATTATAAAAATGTATTATATGGTAGTATTAAGATAGTTTAGTTTTTTCCTTTTCCCCGATGCATTTCATTTTCGGCGTAGTTTCTCGTGGTGCAATATTGACTAGATATCTAGGGACCCAATGCGCAAGTACAACGTGATCCTTGACCTATACGAAGCTTTAATATGGGGAACTTTCCAGAAATTTTCCATCACAGACGTATATACACTTATGCATTACGCCTTACAGCCAATCCATTAAATTAATATTATATAATACAGAAACCCTATCTACACATTATTATAACAAAATTCTGAGTCGAATTTGTACATTTAATATTTCTTTAGTAATAGTAATTATTATCGATAAAGAGGCCGAATCTATAGTTTTTTTAGAATTTGTGTCTGTGTGTCTGGGAACGCATCACAAGAAAACTACTGGACAGATTTTGATGAAATTTGGTATAATGATAGCTAATTATCCGGGTCATATATAGGATATCTCTGAGAAATCTATACTAACTGTTAAAACGTATCTAGGGACGACCGCAGCAGAGCGAGGGTGAGTCACTAAATTAACTCCTCCAGGTAAATATCTAAAAAATAATAAAAATTTGAAGAAATTAATTGTTAACTGGCACACCGGTGTGTATAATATTTTTTTATTATTTAGTGCCTCGGTGGTGTAGTGGCTAGCATATACGGCTGCACATCCGGAGGTCCTGGGTTCGAGTCCCGGGTCGGGTCAAGTTTAGTTATTGACTCTTTCTGTATAAGTAAGCCTCAGTAACAGCCCGGAGTTGGGAAGTTGGGCGATGTTGCACCCCCGTGCCTCGGAGAGCACGTAAAGCTGTCGGTCCTGCACCTTAACTCTCACTGGTCGTGTCGTGCAGTCGTCCCACCGGAGTATGAGAGTGACAGGAATAGAGAGTGCACGTTGTGTCTGCGCGTACACTTGTGCACTATAATATCTCCTGCACAGTTGGCTATTCTCAATGAGATTTGCCGCCGTGGCCGGAATCGGTCAGGAGAACATCATTTTTTAATTGATTCCAGCTCATAAACTAATATAAGTATATAATAAAAGTAAACGCCTTGTAGGTACTTTTTGAATTTGTTATTAACTGTGACGTTTAAGTATAAGTGTAGTGTGATAAATGTCAACAATATGTAGGCATTATATTTTATTAAATTTTATAATTTGATTTGACATGATTATTCATAAAAAGCTCTAGGTACTACCTTCCTCTTAATGATTAAATTCTAGTTAAAATGCCACATTACCTCTTAAAGCCTAACCTGTAATATTTAATGAGCTGATATTAATTAATTTTTTTTTAATTCGTGAAAATTAAAATTCAATGACAATTTTGTATTTGACAAAAAAATGCTATTTATATTAGCTTTAATTCCTAATATTAGATGCATTCTTACTCTTAAAAATACATTTATATTGGTATTTACTATTTAAGGAAAGCAAAGAATACCAAATCCGTCACATCTCCCAAAATTATGTTTATTTTGTAGTGGTAAGGAAGCCCAGAGCCAGTAACGCCCAGCGGCAACAATCCAGCCGGATATGAAGGTAAGAGAAGGCCTGAAAGAAGGCCTGGTTGCTCTTGGTACTTCTGGGCAACCCCCCTTTTTTTCTTTTTTTTTAACGTTGGGAAATGCATTTACGCACGAGGTGTGGCACTCACCGGCGTAATAAAGCCAGTACTACCCACTAAAACCCAACAGAACCTTCCCCCGCCTTAATGGGGCGTCGTAGGATCGTTTACGCATTCAACTACGACGCCCCGACGGCAGGTCTGCCGAAGCAGACCACCACAACCAAGGGGTTGCTCCAAGGTCCACTCTGCTATCAGAGAAGTACCAGGAGCAACCCGTATGGTACACCGCCCACCGAAGAGGGCCACCTCCCACCGCCCACCAAAGTGGGCCACCTACCTGCTTGGCTCAGTGTGCCCGGCTGTAATGCCGGGCACTATTGAGACCTCCCCCCCCCCCCACGACAAGGTGAACGCACGTTGGGGGGGTTCTGGGCAACCCCCTGGTTTTTTTGAAGGACGGGAGCTGGTCTGCGCTATCACAGCCGTCGGGGCATCTTGATTAAGACGATTTCCCACAGTACAGTAACAGTATCCTATAAGATACATTTTACTGTGTATACGTTGACCCGGATAACCAGCTATCATCATAACAAATTTCATCAAAATCTGTCCAGTGATTTTCTCGTGATGCATTCACTGAGACGGATAGACGGACGGAAGGTTATTAAAATGAACTATAAAGAGCTTATAATTATCATTTTTTTAAATATAATTATAACTTGTAGAATAAAATATTTTGTCTAACATTCATAGAATTATTTGTTTTTCGTTTAACAATAATAATGTCCTTGGCATAACATTCTATCATGCACAGATAATTCATAATGGCCTCATTAAAATATCATATGATAATATGACAAGATATTACTTATCCAGTGTAGCCAACTTAGGCGCTTTCCCCACAAATTTAGGGGTAAACAATTATTGCACCGGGGATTTTTTAGCGGAGAAATATGTTTAGGGGTTTTTAGAGGTTTATAAAGATTACTTTAAAGACTTGGAAAAATCATATATTTTTAAATATCATTTGCCCATAATTGTGAATACAATCAACTAAATTAAATTTACGTTTTACTCGTGATCGGTGATATCTTTTTCATTATTATTATTATTATTATTTGTCCTTATTATTACTTTCTAACTTTGTTATCTATGAAATATATTGTTATTATTAAATTGTTATAAATAATTGCAACTATTATTGTAATAATCATAAATATTTTTTACGCTACTTGCAATCGTTTAAAATAAAAAAATAAAAAATTTCAAAAAATAATTTTAGATTATAGCCTACATTTTTCAAATTGTCGGTTATGGGGTCTTAGGGACTTTTGAAATACTCTTATGGGGATAAAATTTCAGTTGTTGGCGATACTGCACTTGTCAGTTCACAGTTGTCTAATGTCAATATTTTAGTATATTATAAATAGTAAATCTACTTGCCAATTTGCAATAATAAATTATCAGATAAAACATTTATTTAAGTATATATTTATACTCATGTGAATAAATAAAAGATATACTGATTAATTAGATCCAAAAATGTGGAAATTGAGTCTCACTGGAATTATTTTTATAGTGTCATGGTAATTTATTGGTGTTTTGCTGACGCATATACAATACATAGTGAAACTTTACAAATAACAATATTTTCATCATTTCAGTTCATATTACGCTTACGCGACAAATGTAAAATTAAACCATGATTTCGACTTGCTAATTTTTACTCAAGAATGGCCAGCAACTGTTTGTAAAGAATGGAAAAAGCATGACCCATCGCATAAATGTGCTATGCCTACCAATACCGATAGTTGGACCATTCACGGCATTTGGCCTACAAAGCTTGGTACAATAGGCCCAGCATTTTGCAATAGGACATGGATGTTTGATCCAGAAAAGATTAAGCCTATTGAACAACAACTAACCCAAGTGTGGGTTAATGTCTTTGGAGGTAAGCTTTGCCCTTTAATCGATATAAAAAATATATTTTTGATTAAAAGCACTTTTGTTTATGAAATTCATTTGTTCATTCATTGACATTCATTTCATAGTTTAATGTTTTATAATTTCAGGTACCTCAGTATACGCACTTTGGTCACATGAATGGACTAAACATGGTACTTGTGCTGCCCAACTTAAACCATTTAATTCTGAGTTGAACTATTTCTCAATAGGTATTAACTGGATGAAACAATATTCCATGACAAATATTCTGAAATCTGGTAACATTTCTCCCTCTAATGATGTACTTTACTCAATTGGCAATATAAATAGTGTAATAAAAAATAAACTTGGCGTAGACCCTGCGATAGAATGTAAGAAGGAAGATGGGCAGAGTGACATTTCAGAAATAAGAATCTGTTTCACAAAAGATTTGGAACTTACTAATTGTGATGGGATTGTTGCAAGACAACAAATAGGTGATGATTCCATTTTAACAAATTGTGACCGATCTAAAAATATTCTGTATCCACAATATATAAACAACCATTGGTATGTCCAGTTGTATAGATTAATAGCTTGGTTGCAGTGGTTTACTTTATAGACGTAATTATTTTTATACTTCTTTAATGCTGAGATTAATGAGCTTCTTTTATTACTAACAAGTTAGAAATCACGTTTTTTTTTCTTAATTTATCCTTTTTTGTAGTGGGCTTTGAAATTTTATTTGTTTTCAAAGTTTTTCTGCTCAACCTATATTTTTATTACTAAGCAAATCTATAAGGTAGTTTAATAGATTTTGATTTTCATTATTTATTCCGGCAGTTTTTGAATATTTTAATATCTCCAGGTAAATTTCTAAGAAATTAATTAAATTTATAAGAAATCTATTTTAACTGTAACGCCGGCATGTCCACGGTCGTTAAGGGATAGATGATTTTACTTAACCAATATCAAATTGTATGTATTCAGCCCCTTTTATTGTCCCACTACTGGGCATGAGCCTCCCTTCAATACGAGGGGGATTGAGCCATATTCCACTATACTAAGTAAGTGTTGGTAGATTTCACATTGAAAACTTGCTAGGTTTTCGCAGACATGCAGGTATCCTCTATATATTAATGTTTTGCACATGAAAATATCAAACATCAAAGAACTACTCCATTCGTATGTCCAAGCTAGTGTGTTACCACTGAGCTACCCAATGCCTTAAAAGGGCTGAATACAATATCAAATATCATGTACTTACCTTATCAAGTTATAAGCATAAAAAGTAAATTTATATACAAAATATAAAATAAAATACGGGGCTGTAATTCTATTATTTTAGTTGTAAGTTTATAGTAATACAAATATTATCATATTTCTTCTAATTACTAAAACTGTTAACTGTATGAAACTGAACAGGGTAAAATAAAATACTTCCTCCTGATGACATTGATGTTACTGTTTTATTATTAATCTACAGAAAAAAAAAATCTGCTTTATAACCACCAACAATAAAATAAAACTAATAATTCCATTTTTTTTATAAGGCTACACATAGGTCTCATTAAATTGTTCTGAAATTGAGACTTTTGAAGTGAAACCTCTTTGCGCACATAAAAGTAAAATTTCAAGGTAACGTCACGAAAAACCGTCATGGTTGCCACAGCAACCGTTGTTTTTTTTGTAGTAAAAAGTTAATACAAGATAATCATTGTTATTAGATAATAACTTTTTTAAATTCCATAATTGCTGTACTTTTATGTATTATATAAGTGCCTTTAAAATAGCTATATGTACATGTATTTTGTATGTAATGTTTTTAGTTTCTATATTTTTACTTAAACTTTGTATTTTAGACAATTATTTATTTATATATAATTGTTGTAATTTACAGATCAAACATTGCTTGCACAATAAATACACTGTTTAAATTATGTTTTTCGTTCATGGTTTTTCATTTCAAATTTTGTTTTAATACAAATATGATTTTAGACCAACATTTAATTCAATTTTCTTGTTTAATGACTTTGATGCCAGTTGATGACAAAAAAAATATTTTAATTCACTGGCATTGGTGGACATAACTTATGCAACTCTTATCATTAACAAATTGAGGAAATAGCCTTACAAATCCCGGTAACATTATTTTGGTACATGTTTAGAAGGTGATAAGTTAGATTTATACTGACTTAAAAACAAGAAGTTATATGTTGGGCAGTTTTTTTTTATATCATCATGTGGTTCCTAGAGAATACTGCAAAAGAAAATAAAAATACATTTAATAAACTGTGTGTAATTTATTATTTTCAGTTAACAACATTCATTTTCAGCAATTATTGTATTGTACTATACACAACTTAGACAATTAAACATAAATACAAAATAAATCAGATATGGCCCTTCACCAGCCATGTTTATACAAAATTAAAAAATATAATACGAATAGAAGGAAGATTACAAAAATGTAGGCAAAGGAGAAAGTCTTTCGTGCCATTGTTGACATTCCGCCATTTTTATTTTTTTCTAAATTTGCGTCACACAATGAAAATGGTAAAAATCGATTAAATACGTATAAACAAATAATAAGTATTAGTTATATGGTATCCTTAAGTGGCACGTTGTTGAAATATTTGAAGGTAAAGTTCACAATAAGTATGAAAAACTATGACAACCACTAAAAAGTATAAATAAGGGTTTTGTTTAGTTGTATTAAAATAATTAATTCCATAGTCCACCTATAGGCATTATAATTCATATTGCTGATTGTTCATATACTCTAGTTTCATTGTGTGCTTTAGTTTAAAAAAAGATAAAATGGCGGCATGTTATTATGCCAGCTCTCATAGGAACATGTTCGAGCCCCTTCAAAATTTCACTCAACAATTCATTTCATTAGAAATAAAAATAGCTGGATATAATATGGGCTGGTAATAAAAAAAATATATAATCAGAATTGAAAAATTAGGCAATTGTCATAAGCATCTATATATTTGAGCTTCACTAATAAGGCAGCCCCAATGAAAGCAAATCGGCAGGGAGCATTGAATTAAGAGCTATTATTTCTTGAATATGTCAAAAAACACAACATAAATGTTATCTATACATATAATAAAATTCTGAGTCCAATCTATACATTAAATATTTTTTGGAAAATCTTATTGAAATAGTCATTATTATCGACACAAAAGTCAAATCTATATTTTTTAGAATTTTTGATTGTCTGTCTGTCTGGGAACGCATCACGAGAAAACCACTGGACAGATTTTGACGAAATTTGGTATGATAGCTGGTTATCCGGGTCAACATATAGGATATTTATTACTGCGGGAAAATATCTCTGAGAAATCTATACTAACTGATAAAACGTACCAAGAGGCGAACCTGAGCGGAGCGAGGGTGAGCCACTTGTTAATGATAAATATTTGTAGTTATTTTCATTATTTAGGAATATCTTTGACCTTTGTTATAATATATTACTTTACAAGTTGTGTAGTACAAGTGTAGCTTCTTGCAGTCAAACTTTTAACTGGTCAAAACAAAATTTGGCAGGCAAAAGTAGGTTATGGTTTTACAGCAGCTTATTTAAAAAACCTCCTCTGCCTTTACTTTTATCCAGAAGGGGTCCGTTGAGTAAATATTAAAAAAACTAAACTAACAAAAATATCATAAACCTGTAAATACTTGAATCCATGGAATTAATAATGCTATATTTATATTATATTCATTTGAATCTAGTTAAAACTAGAAAACTCATTTAGCCGGCCAAATTTTGTTTTGACAGTTTAAAAGATTAAACTGTAACTTAAATAAAATGTGATTTGATATCACATCTATAAATTACCTTATCCCAATAAAAACTAATCAATATAGTGCTCCTTTTGATACAATTATCACTGCAGAAGGAACCAGACCTGAAAGAGAATATTAAAATATATAAATTGTACAATTTTTAAGTAAATATAAAATGAAATTTGTGTTTCTGCCTGTTTGCAACTTATTTTATAGTCTACAATTTAACTATGTTATACCTTCTAACTTTATGCTTTATTCAGAACTTGGAAACCAGATAAATTTTTAAACCGGTTTTGGTCATTTCAATAAACAAAAAAATAAGATTATGCTCACATATTCTTCACTTCAATTTAAATATACTGTTAAGGAAATAAAATGTCAAAAATAGTAAAGTTGTTATAGACATACATACACATAAATGTTTTTTTAAAGCAGTCATAAACAGATGTTCCTATGAATTTTCTATTATATTATATAATTTAAAAAAAACATAGATGTTTATGAAATAACGCATTCGCATCTTACCTAATAATTCTAATGTCATTTCATACTCCTCTGCTGTGAATATCTTCTTTGGGAATGTTGTTAACAACTTGAAGTTATCATTCTTAGCAAACTCCTCAGAATTCATTTGTACAAATAATCTGGGAATTAAAGAAAATATTTTCATAAATCTACAATATATACCATTTTATCATTTACTAGCGACTCACCCACACTTCGCTCGGGTTCACCATACAAAATTTCATCACCATTTTCACCCGCTTAAAGGATGATTTCCGGGATAAAAAATATCCTATGCCTTTCCCAGGGTCTCAAACTATCTTACCAAATTTCATCTAAATTGGTTCAATAAATCCAGAGATTACCCCCTACAATGTCACAAACTCACAAACTTTACCTCTTTATAATATTAGTATAGATGTATAAATTATGCTTTAAGAATTTACAAAATAACCATACTTGTAATATTTATTTATTGAAGAAAAAAGACATTTCTTGCTAGAAATGCCTCCATTTAATAAAAATTATTAAATTAAAATACCACCTTAATCGTCATGTAAATATCTTTAAAATGATATATGACACTTATATGTAAATATAAAACTTCAAAAGAAAAATGAATTTCAATGATATTAAAAACTTCAAATGCTTGTACTGTAAAATTTGTTCTTTTTGAATAAAGTCATTTTTCTATTTAACCGATTATGTCTGGTACGCCTGATGAGGTACTGAAAGTATGGACAACTTCAGTATTATAGGAACTATTTACATTTGTCACTTGTACTTAACCTTTTATATATTTTAAATTGTCAGTAAATTATTATCTTAATAAATTTGTTATCTAAAATTATATGCCTTTGATATCATTTCATCAACAACCAACAAAAAAATAATAATAAAAGCACTGAATCTAAATAGTTTGATATAGGTAATTTTAACACCATTTTGCCTTTTCCTGCTTCTGATGTCAAGATGGTATATAATTTTGTTAGCATCCAGTTTATGTAACTATTTAGATTAAGGTATGGTAGGGCTGGCATATTTTTGAAATAAAATCCCTTAAAAATAAATAGGAAAAAATAATATTAATTATTATTATTATCTCATAGAATTCATTTTTTTTTAATCACTTAAAAGTTCAGAAGTAATTTTCGCACTAATTGGGTTATTCTTTATATCATATATAATATTCATTCAAAAATAACATTTTCTTATTTATTGATGAATCAAAATAAAAATTGCAAATATATATTACCTTACTACAGCTAATTGTTCCTTAGCACCAAATGTTTGACAAAGAGTCTGTCCATCTGGTAATCTTATCTGTATGCGAGTTTGCTCATATGTCTTGGTGGAAGAAGGCAAGCTGGTGACAGGGGCTGGTATAGGCGCTGGACTTGGGGTTGGAGCTGGTTGACCAGATGCTGCGAGCCTGGAATATAATTATAAAATAAATTAAATAAAAATCTGTAATCATTAAATTATAAATGTTAATATTTATCAAAAATTTTAGGTTTTTTTTTTACATTATGTGGCAATAGCTTAATTGAAATGATAATTTATTGTGTTAAGATAGTCTGTAGGCCAGAAAATTACATAGATAGATACTAGTTGGTTTAAAGGTTACTAGTTGTAATATATGAGATTTAATAACTTACACTGGCTTATTATTATTCATATTTTTCTATTTATAATATGTATTAAGAAAGTTATGTTCTTACAGTTTTCTGCCACAGCGGCCAATTTCACTGAGATTAGTCAGCCTAAGAGAGTGAAGGTGCCAGGAGATATTATAGTGCACAAGTGTATGTGTAGAATAAATAATATAATATCAAGGGCACTTTTTATTTCTTTTACTCTCAAAGTCCAATGGGACAATACTTCGACACAACCAGCAAGATGTAAGATACAAGACTGACAGTAAGTATACCTAGTACATAATATATATAAGCACACTTACTTTCTTGCTTGTTTATCAGCTTCAATTTGGGCGCGAACCCTCTCTCTTGCCCTCTGGTCTTCTAGTTTCTCTCGACGTCTCTGTTCCACTAATTTTTGCATTTCTTGCTCCTGGAGCTTTTGTCGAGCTTCCTGAAGGTCTTTGCCTGACTTGATACGCAGTCTCTCCCTTTCTAATGCTTCAGCCTAAATATTGATTTATTGTCTATACTTTAATGTCATAATGGGAAGTTAACTTTTCTATAATAAATACTAATTTAAAGAGGAAACATTTATTTACTAGTAGACAATAAATAAGCTTTGTAACTACTGAACTGATTTCAAACATTCTTTTACTGTTGGAAAGCAATTTTATTCAAAAAGAACAGTCTGAATTTAAATTTAATAATAATAAGTTTCTAAAGAATTAAACAGGTAGAATTATACAAAAATTTGACATAATGAAACTTTGCTTTGTGACACTATAAATAATTTACTAATGTTTTTTAACTTTTGTAACATTCAACTGATATTATCGTTATGTAGTGATAAATGAATTTGATATTCAAAATGTTATCATCTTATTACAACAAATATTACCTTTTCTCTATCTTCTCTCTCCTTTCGCTTTTGTTTCATTCTTTCTTCAAGTAATGCTAGTTGAGCTTTCTTTTCTTCCTCTGTTAGAGGTTTTTTTTCCTCCGTTGATTCAGAGAAACTGCTGTGATTCGTTTTTGCTGCATGAAACTCCATTTCATCTTGGTTTTTAAATAATTTGCCACATTCATCGCACTTGAAAGACTTCGCTTCTGCATCACTACTAGCCTCAGCAGCGGGAACCGGCTCGGCAGGAGCTGGCTCAGCCGGTACAGGCTCAGCAGCCGCAGATCCAGAATTACCAGCTATAGTATAACCTGCACTTAAATCTGGTTCATCTGCATGGGCAAGGAGCCATTCCATGGCAGGCTCTACGCCTTTATAATTCGTCACGGCTAGCGCTTTCTCGCTAAAAACGATTATTACAAAGTAAATAACCTTAACATCACTGGTATAAATAATAATACTAATAAATAAGTAAGTACATACGCTCTCTCTTTTGGGAATCCCATTTCGATTAGTGTTTGTATTTCTGCCATTTTATAATTCTTTAATTAGGCACAATATATGTTAAATATTTGTAAAAATTGCTACTCATTACTCGTCAATCGCGAAATGTTTTGTAATTTTTATTATCACGGTTTTTTTTTAAGATATAGACAATAAAATATTCACAGATTATATTTACTTGGTCTTGGAGAGAGTAAAAAATAAGTTTTGTATGGTTTTTAAAGAACTTAGATTTTAATTGGAAGAAATAATAATGTTAATATTTATGTAACAACTTTATTTTATATTATCAAATATTAATTGTTATGCAGGAGGCACATTTTTGTGATTATAATTCATTCGTTATTTTTCAATGTGTCATTATCCAAAGTTTTGGCATATGGCGGCGTTTTTAAAATAAAAATAGTTTTTGTCATGTTTACATAATATTCCTGAAAGAATAAGAGTTATTATCTTTTTTATTTACTTGATAGCAGTATATATTTTTTATTCTTTCAATGGCCAACCATAAAAAAATCAATAAAAGGAAAGGCATTACAAACAGTGACCCTGGTAAAATTTTGGATTTAGTTATGAATCTAAGAGATAATAGTTGTTCCCAATTACAAGTCAAAATTAATATATATGTAAGTTATAAAATAAATTATAATTGTGGTTATATTTTATTTAATTATTATTTTTAGTTATATTATCTTTAAAACTATGTATTATATTCTAATTTTATAGTAACTTTCTAGTTGCGAGAAGAGTGTGATGCCGAGACTATCTTCCTTATTATTGTTCATGGCGTTGGCTCTGAAGCTTCAATAGAAGCCATTGGGTCCATTCCTCTGTCACGGAAACATAAAATATGTGTAAGTTATATTATATATATTCCATTTTGCTAGGAAATAAATGCCCGCTTTCACCAACATCCCATAAACTACCACCTACGTATGGGATCCCTAGCTTAAAGGTTCCCCTAAACTAGCCCCTAAATTAAATTTCATTTTACCATCGTCAGGGCCCGTATTTCTAGTACCCATATTTAGGTGGTATTTTAACATTTAGGTGACCCCTAACTGTCGTTGAAACAGAAACTGTCCCCTAACAGCCCCTTAAGCATGCTTAGGGGATCCCTTAATCTTAGGTGACGTTGATGAAATCGGCCAAAAGTTCCATAAATCCACTCTTAAAATCGCCGTTTTTCCTTAATGTACGATAAACTATTATGATTCAGCCTGCTTTCGTCCACTACTTACAAGAGTTAGTTGACTTTCAATTACATATTAATCATTCATCTATCTTTATATTATTTGCCGACGATATAGTGGTCTCGCTGAGACCATAGAGGACCTCAGCATAATGCTCGGTGACCATGACAGAGTCAGAAAAGACGAATATAATGCACAAAATTCTTGTCCAGTTTCCATCGGGGACTTTACGACCGAAGTTGTGGACGGATGAGTATACTAGGATGTATATACCAGAATCGATTTTCCAACTAGGAAGGTCCAACTAAGAAAAAGGTCAATCAACAATCCGATTTGAACTGCCTTCGAGGCTTTTCGTCTCAAATACGGCAGTGTTTCTAATTAAAAAAAAAATGGCGAATATATCTACGTTGTCAGTAATGCTATACAGAACTAAAATATGTTTCGTTGGCCGTTGCGGGATAAAATCAGATGCTAGGAGATACGCAGAAGGATCAAAGCTACCTACAAAATCCACCAAATCTTCAAGTTGAAGTGGAAGTTCACAGTAGAACAGATGGCCGCATGTGATAAACGCGGTACTTGAAAGATTAGTCGGCCTTCCATGTAGGATGCTGATGACCTGGTGAATAGTTACCTTGGAAATCTTTAGAAGCCCATGTTCAGCTGTGGACGAGTTTTGGCTGAGTCGACGGTTCATTTATACAGCATTTATATTTCCTCTACTACAAGGATTTTGTTGCTGTTTATTTCTTGATTACACAGGAACTCTTTTCTGTTTTAGGCTAAAAATGATAATAAGCTTAAAGTTATAGTAACTTTAAGCTTATGTTTATATGTTCACTCCATTCGTTATAATGGAATTTAACATTTAAATAATTAATCTTTGCCAAATATTGTTAGTGTAGCGCATAGTATCATCATCATCATCATCATATTCAGCCTGCTTTCGTCCACTGCTGGACATAGGCCTCTCCTATGGCACGCCACTATACGTAATTTTAAATAGATCCTTACTAAATGAAGCTTTTAGATGTAAGACAGTAATGGTTTTCATTTAATTATGTATTTATATAATTTTAGATGACCCAAAAATTGTCAGACATTTTAAAATCAACTGTGGAACAAACGGAATTATTGTCTAATTTTGAAGCAGATTTACAAGCAATTGTATCTCCAGTAAGAATTATACTTACTATTTAGATTATGCTAAGATGTAACAATGTAATTATAAAATTTGAAATGTTATCGTTTAATTTTTAGGGTTCCTTGGCATAAAAGTAAAAACATAAACGTAACCTTAAAGTTTCGTCATGTCCGTCTGTCCATCTAAAGTTATTAACTACTACTAAACTAATTACTACAACTAAACTAATTAAAATCAAAGTCACAATCTCTAACCATGGATACAACCTAATTTCGGCTTTACTGAAAATTCTTATAATGCCTAGTATGAGCTTTTACCTTTTACAGTAGGTAAAATATTCTACCTATTTTGCCTGACTGCGGCGAAGCCCAAGCGAGGGTTATGTGTTTGACCGTATGTATGTAATTATGTATGTATGTACATGTCCGATCCTGTGTTCTCTCGTAATTGCTGAACAGTTTAGCCGATTTTGATGCTTTATACGTCGTTCAATTCTTCTTGACAATGCGGGTATCATAGGCTATATAGATAGATATAGGAAATATTCTATATATATTAGTAAATATACCAATTTATTATTTCAGTATCTTACAAAAGAAGTTAAAAAACGTATTATAATGTATCCGTTGGTGGATAAACCTTTTTCAATAATAGTGTGTGCGGTCGCTCCGAAAGTTCTAGAAGAACAAGTTGCTTTGATTATACACGAATGCTTTTTGTACGTTTAATACTTTTTAAACACATATTGGTTTAATTTCTTTCACCTGTATTAAGACTAGAAACTTAGATTTAGATCATTTTGACTTTCTAACTTTCATTAAATCATTCTATTATTTCGTGGAAACGGGATAAAAGTATCCTTTATGGTCATATCTCCTTTTTTTTAACGTTGAGAAATGCATTTACGCACGAGGTGTGGGACTCACCGGCAAAGCCAGTACCACCCACTAAAACCCAACAAAGCCTTCCCCCGTCACCGTTCCGGGCGTCGCAGGTTCGCTCACGCATTCAACTACGACGCCCCGACGGCAGGTCTGCCGAAGCAGACCACAACAACCATGGGGTTGTTCCAAGGTCCACTGCTAGCTGCTGCTGTTCTAATTAAAGCGTTAAGATGTAGGTAATAAAAATAACTTGTTTTCTAATACTAAATTAGTATTCTTGAATTAAAGGAATAATTGTGTTTTTATTTTTTATTTTTAGTAGAATATTATTTACTTACTAATTATCTCGGCATTTGTAAATAAAAATCATACCTAATTAAACATTCTTATAGATTTTGCTGGCCCGTTTTAAAGAAAACTATAATATTGGAATACGAATGCACTTTAAAACAGAAATGTCAACAGTTGCTTAAAGTTACACGCAGGCTTTTTACACAAGTAAGAAACGCTCTACACTAAACAAATACTTTAAAAAAATTACGCTTAATGTTACTTTAAAATACACAATTAGCTCTTTCTGACCGATTTCGGTCATGGCGGCTTATTTCACTGAGACCGGCCAACTGTATGTGATACTAGCGGCTCACCCTCGCTTCGCTCGGGTTCGTCGTTAGGTACGTTTTAATTAGATATAAATAGTTATTATCCAGCGTTAGCCATATAAATTTTAATTTATTTTCGTTAATTGTTCATTTTTTCTCTTTATTAAAACCTTCCGTGGATTTTAAGGAACATACGAAAAAAAATTTAACCGGATTGGTCCAGCCATTCTTGAGTTATGCGCTTACCAACATTCATTTTTATTATATAGATTATAGTTCAGGCGTGTGAGGCACAGCGCACACACAATGTGCACTCTCTGTCCCTTTCGCTCTCACACTCTGATAATCTCTCTCTCTTTCTCTACCTCTATCCCCTTCTCTCTCTCTTTCTCTCTACACGATCGATGAGAGCTTAGGCGTAGTGCTCCACCTCGGCACAAGGGTAGAAGTTGGAACGCCGCCAACTTCCCAGCTCCGGGCTGTTATTGACAATCCCTTTACAGAAAAGCCCACTCAACTAAATATCGAACCTGGGACTCGCACCTAGGACCTATTAGAATCCGTAGCCGTACGTTTTAGCCTCTGGAGTCTAGACTAAGGGCGTAGTTGTTATGAAAATAAATCTAAACATAAATATAAGGTATTGTCTGAATGTATGTTGTTTTAAATCTTAAGGTGGCATCATTAGACACGTTGTTGCAAATAGCAATGGAGCAAGCGAAGCAGCTGACCAAAGCAGAGTATTGTTCGGTCTTCTTGATCGATGTAGATAGTATGGAGCTGGTCAAGAAATGTCACCGTCCTGCCAACGCGCAAGATGGGGTAAATGAATAGTTGTGGATGTACATAATATATATATATATATTATAGCTTTTGTTAAATCGTGTCTATTTATTGAAGTCTATTATATGAAGAATTTGATTAGGTAACTTATTAGGTACCTACTTTTATCTTGTAATATTTGATTATTTGCTAAATACTGAACCGATTTTGATAATTTAAGATCTTCAGACGTTTTTACTTTTCATTTTCAATGTCGTAAATAAAGTAATATTTTTAAAATATGGGATATGGGGTAAAATGGGGTTTGTGCGTTTGTTTATTTATTTGTTTGTTTGAACTCGCTAATCTCAGGAACTACTTACCCGATTTAAAAAAATATTTTTGCATTAAATAGCCCGTTTATTGAGAAAGGCTATAGGCTATATATCATCATGCTACTACTACCCAATGGAGCGGAAAAGTACCTCATCATAAATGTCAACAAATCGGACTAATATTATATTATTGTAAAAGTGATATTTATAATCAAACAAATTTAACGCAGGTGAAACCGCGGGGCACAGTTAATGAATTTTAATGTGAAAATGTATGTTAATTCTTTCTTGACATTTTTATTCTTCTAAGGATGAGAATGAAGTACAGGAGCGTAGGTATCCATTGAACACTGGTATAACAGGGCAGGCCATCAAGACTGGTACTGTGATCAACTGTAAGAATGCCAAACAGCATTCTGAGTACAATTCTGATATTGACTGCTTACCAGAAGTGGATTGCAAGTTTGTATTTTCTTAATTTATATCTATCCTTTTTAGAGTGATATAATCAAAATTGATTCATCCGTAGGTCTATTTATTTCCATATATTTTTATTGATAATCTATACCTACATATAATAAAATTCTAACTAATTCAAATCTGTACATTAAATATTTTTTGGAAAATCTTATTGAAATAGACATTATTATCGATACGGAGGCCGAATATATAGTTTTTAGAATTTTTGTCTGTTTGTCTGTTACCGCATCACAGAAGGAGGAACTGGAGGAATTTTGATGAAATTTGGTATGGTGATAGCTGGTTGTCCGGGTCAACATATAGGGTACTTTTTACCGCGGAAAAATATCTCATTCCTGAAAAAAAATACAAAAACTGCATTGTAAGAGTATACTAATATGTAAAACCTAAGAGTTTGCTTTTTGGACATCTGAACGCGGGCGGAGCCGCGGGCAATGCTAGTGTAAAATATTTTTAGAGAGATGATTGCGGTTTCTAATGCCGTCTACGTGTTTGAAAGGGAAACAAATTCAATTTATTTTCAATTTAGACGTTATCTTTATATTAGATTAGGCTCACAGCTATCAGCGCGAGTTTTCATTTTTACATGTCCCTATACAAAATGAGAGTCGTATTCTTTGTTGAATGATATTGTCTCTACATGCAATTAGATCCAAAGTCTTTTTTTCTTTTTTGCATTCATTTTATATATTACAACGTATCTTCTCCATTCCAAGCGCCATTGGCGAACTAAACTCGCACTCCTAGAAACCACGAAAGTAAAGAATTGAATTGAACTTATATTTATATGGCGACACGTTTGGCTCAGTTTGTAGTGACCCTACTTGCTGCGCCAGCGGTCACGGTTTCGAATCCCTGTTTGTAATCCAGTCATGGGTGTTTATATTTATAATATGTATGTATTTAAAGTTATAGTAGGGGAGCCCAAGAGGGGATTTTTGTAGTTACTCAAGCGCGGCAGATTAACATAAAAGAGGTTACCTTGCACTCTATTGAGTACTTTCACCACAATATAAGTCTTCTATACAAAGGGGCGCGTCTAAGGAAGCCGATTAAAATATTTAAAAAATGTTTTGATAAGGTAGAAATACTTGAAACCGTCAGATTAAGGTGTGGTAGGCTAGTCACATCCTGAAAAGTGTCCAATTTAATAATCTGCCGATTTGCACAAGCCTAAGAGGCAAAAATCATCATAAACTTTATAGTCGATCAACTACAGAAAATCGAGTAACTACAGAAAATCCCCTCTTGGGCTCCCCTACTATTATATATGTGTAGTGTATCAACTATCTGGTATCCATAACACAAGCCTCGTATCTTACCACGGAACTAGATAGTGCTGTGTGTTAATGTCCCAACATATTTATTTATTTATTTATTTATTTAATACAGTAACCGTATATAAAAACTTCTAGGTCAATACTATGTTTTCCAATTCGCGAACAAACCGGGATAATAGGTGTTGGTCAATTGATAAATAAAATTGGCGATCCCTACTTCGATGCGATGGACGAGGAGATGGCGTTAGCTTTCAGCATTTACTGCGGTGTCTGTATTATGCACTCGGTCGTGTACCAGAAGATTAAGGAGGCTCATATAAGGAACGCTTTGGCTAATGAGCTGGTTATGTACCATATGAAGGTATTTTTTTGCAGTTCATTGCAGTAATATTGTTCGTACATTAGCGATTTACTCGGGTGTGTCTGTACATATTTGCCTTTTCTATTTATAATATTCTTTTTCTCCCTGCCCATTTCCCAATCACTTGGGGTCGGCGCAGTACATCTTCTGCACTGCTGATAGGATTTGGCAAAAGTTTTACGACCGGCCGCCTGCCTGACGTCAACCCTCCTTGGGAAAGCTATTGTTTATCGAGGAATATGTCTTATGATATATCTCTATTTATAATATTAAACCCTAAAAATAGATATTTTGGTCTAAGGTAGGTGATTCAGAAGTGGCCCGAGTGCTAGAGTGCACAGGCTTTCACAACCACCCACATATCACCAGCTTGCACTTCAACGTGCGCGCGCTGCCTCTGAGGGAGCTGCCTTGTTACGTGTTCAAGATGTTTTCTGATTTGGGCTTTGTTAAAAAGTACATAAGTTTTTGGTATTATTTGTATTTGGTATATTTATAAGTACCTGGGCGACCGAGCCTTGCTCGGAGTGTTTGGCCAAAAAAAAACGTTAAAAAAAACAAACTAAGAATTTGAATAACTACAAAAAAAAAACAAAATTAAAAACTTTGTGTCCGATCGGGATACGAACCCAGACACCTATGGTTGTCAAATTTGCGCATTGGCCGCTTGACCATGATGCTTATATCTGAGCATGCGAAATTATCGAACATAATATTTTGCGTGGAATTATTAATTATTAATTTATTGAAATAATGCAAAAGGAATCATAATGATAATGAAGCTCTATTTATTTATTCATTTATTTATTATAAAGGCTTACTAACTAAATTTACATAAAAACATTTATTTAACAATATAATTTTACCTATTTGTATATAAATTTAATTTAAAAGTATGCACAGCTTTTTATAAAGGTATTCCATTCAAATTTATTTGGTTAAAAGTATATAAGGAGCCATTTTTAGTTGTACAATAAATAAAAGAAGAAAAAAAAACTAATCTAAATATTTAATACACTTTCTTTTTTAAATAAATTTAAAAATATCAGAAAAAAATGTCTATATCACATTGCTGAAATATAAAAATTATATAATTTAGTAACTATTTATTAACTTATTAATTTTTTAACTAATAATTTTGTAATCTGGAATTAAATTATTTTAAAAAATCTTTAATATTATTTGAAATTATATTGTATATATATAAATTATCATTAACAAATAAATAAACAATGATAGTAAATTAAATAATTCAATTGAGTAAATACTAAACATTTCACAATAATACATATAAATAAAATTTCTTTCCATACATTAATTCTGACAATAGTTATAAATTAGGTATTTAATTTCATAATTAAATGTATTTTTTAGTAAATGTATTTCATGTATAGACCCCTCTCGGTTAAAAGCCTCCTCCAAAGTAGTCCTGCATAGAGCTCTCCGTGGAGATTATGCTGTGTATGATTGCAAAGGGGTTTCTTTTCAAATTTTGTTTCCAATATACTATAATTTGTTTCTGATATGCCTATAAAGTTTATAATTTTATCTTTGTGTTCTTTCGATTGTTTGTAGGAAATGCTGCTTTTTTAATTCTAGAAGTTTTTTCTGGTGAAGATATGTATTACCTTTTGTTCTTTGTATGTCTGTCTTTCTTTGGAGGGTTACAGTCGAACTCCCCCACAGTGACCGGCCGTACTGGGGGATAAAAATGAGGAGGTTCCTACTGTGTTTAATATACTGTATCTTGCTGTGTTGTTTTTAGTTCTTCCTGGTTATCATTTGTGTGGTTGAAAGTTAATTTTGGTTTTTGTAAGACTTTATAGTCTTTAATATTAGCAGGTTTGGTTTTCTTTGTATGTTGTTTATTTGTTAGTTTTTGTTTATAATTGAGGTAAGGCGTTTCTGAAGATACAGGCAGACTTCTTTTATTTGAGTATTGGCGGGAAGTGTTCTTATTATTATCCACAATAATTAGTTTGTCATATTTAATGAAAGCTGTTTTGCCTAGGTCTTTTTCTTTATTTTCAGTTGGGCTTGTAACTCCTTGCGTTTGTTTAAGACTTTATTTTTTCCTCTAGTTCATGATAGGATTTTTCACCTTTTTCTACTACGAACATAACCAAGTTCTTGCGCCTAATATGTCTTTCTAAATTATTTATTGAGGAATTTTTTATTTCTAAGTGTTTTTAAATTTCTCATTTAAGTATATATTGTTGATTGTATTTTTTAATGTCTTCTTTCATTTCTAACATTCTGTTTTCTGCTGTCTTATTTCTTGTTGTATGTTTATTAGCAACTTTTTTATCTCCTCCATCTTAAGTGTGAAGTCGGAAGTAGAAAAGCTGATTGAAAAAGAGCACCAATTATACCTAGTTGAATTGCAATTTTATACATAGTATTAGTTTTTGAGGTTATAAACTTATGTTTTAATATTTTACGCTTTCACTTCACAAATTATTTTGTTTATTGTCATCACACACAGAAAGATGGTTTTGCACTAATAGTATCGTATGTTATGTTTTCTCACTTTTGTATTTGTTTTGGTAGGTGGAATTTTAAAAGCTCATTTGTTCTTTCAACACATCAAGACTTGGTGATGTTTATAGATTAATATTTCTTAAAATTATTATTAAACTAATTAGAATTTATCATTTTCTTTAGATTATTTCCACTTAAATATTTTTAAACTTGATGTAAATACGGACACGATATTGACAGTTGTACAGTGGCGCCTCCCACCCACCAGAAGTGACAACTGACAATGCAAAAATTGTGAAAATTCAAAAGAAAACCGCATGAAAATTCAAAAACACGCATTTTTCCAGACATAAGACTAATCTAGATCGATTTATCGCCCCCGAAACCCTTTGTATACTAAATTTCATGAAAATCGTTGGAGCCGTTTTCGAGATTCAGATTATATATTGAGATATATATATACAAGAATAGCTCGTTTAAATATATAAGATATGTATGTATTTAAAGTTGTATATGTGTATTGTATCAACTATCTGGTATCCATAACACAAGTGTCGTAACTTACCATGGAACTAGATGGTGCTGTGTGTTAATGTCCCGACATATTTATATATTTACTATACTCGTACATAGTACTTATATAGTGTTTTTATTTTTATTTTGGTGTAGAATATAATAGCTACTTAAAAGTGGTGCTTAAAAAATCATGTACATATGTAGAGAGCACCTACCTACACATATTTTTAAAACTTATTTCTTAAATTATTTGACCTAGCATTTTTATTACGTGAATATTGTTCTTGTATAAGAGTGTTGGCCTCATTTTAAGTGAAAAGGTAATTTTAAACAAAACTATCTTTTCGGATTTTTCACGGATTTATTTTGATTTTTAGTTTCCAACTTTTTGAATGCTTTACAGCAATCATGGTCACGGGAGAGACTAAGGTTTTAGGTGTCTCAAAGGTGTTATATACCTACTTGTTACAGACAGTGCCTACCTATAATTTTACAAATATGATTTTAAAAATTTAAAAATGACACCAAAGTAGGAACCCAAAAATAAAAATAAAAATTGTTTAATTATTTTTTTTTTATTTAACTTTTTTTATTGTAGTATTAAGTATTTTACATCTTTTTAATATATTCCTCTCACAGGTTCAACATAAAGAAACAAAATCTAGTCAGATTTATCCTACACGTCAAAAAGGGGTATCGTGACGTCCCCTACCACAGCTGGCTGCACGCGTTCAATGTGGCGCAGTGGGCCTTCGCTGCTATTACTAATTATAAACTGATAGCCCAAGGATATTATACGTACGAAAAGATATACACACATATATTTGTATAGTGGTTATGTAAATAATCTTTAGCTGCTTTGTTATATTCTATTTGAACTGCCTCTGTGGTCTAGTGGATATCATGTACGGCTGCAGATCTGGAGGTCCTGGGTGAGAATACCGGGTCAGGTTAAGTTTAGTTATTCAGTCTTTCTATTAAGAAATTGTCAGTAAGAACCTGGAAGTTGGTGGTGTTTCACCTCCTAAAATTATCTACGAATCTATAGGTACCTGTCGAAACGAACGGGTTTATAACGTAACGAATAGACAGCGCAAATGTGAGGGGCAAAAGAGCACACTTATTCACTGCCGCTGCATTGTTTAAGTACTTCAATATTAATCAGGAAACAGCTTTCGGGTTTTTCAAACTTTGTAATAATTTGCCATAAATATTGGTATTTTTTGACAACTCTTGACAGTTTCTTTTATTAAGAACAAATAGTATTATTTCTAAATGACATTGGCGAAGTTCTCTGAGAGTGAGAGACAAAGAAAGAGAAGAGAGAGAGAGTGTGTGTGTGTGAGAGAGAGAGAGAGAGAGAGAGAGAGAAAAGAGCAGAGTATAGTTATTTTAATGATTATTAAACTTTGTTGTATTTCAGTGATCTACAAGCTCTTATGTACCTTATAGCTGCCTTGGTACACGATATGGATCATCGCGGCACCACTAATAGCTTTCAGATTCAAGGCCGTAAGTTTAGATACTAATTTTCTATTGTAATACCTACGTTTAATCTTATTTAAATATTTTATGCCCTATGAAAGTATGTATGTCGTTAGAGTTGTATGAAAAAATCCTGAACGGACTAGATAGCTAGTCAAATGGTGTTTTTTTATGTTTTCTATTTTATACATATACCTACCTATAGCTTTATTTTGTCGATTGTTGATTCAAGATTTTTTTTAATAACAGGCAAGGAAAAATCACTTTTAAATAAAATTGATCAAAATTAAATAACAAGTAGATCGGTGTCATGGGACACCCGATAGGAATAAAATTTCTTTCACTGTCTGTCTTCGCCAAGTACGTACGTACTCGTATAATGCGCGATAAGGGACTTCGTTCGAAAAGTGCACGGACAAAATGTCTGTGGTGTTTGTCATACTTATTGAAAGAAAAGTCTGATAGAAACAACATTAGCCGCGTTTTACTCTATCTAGGGTAATAGGTGGTAATGTCTCATCGCGAATGTCGAGCTGCCGTCCCACTAGAGTTTGAGAGTGAGAACAATAGAGAGTGTCCTTGTATTGCACTCTAATATCTCCTGCGTATTTGGCTAGTCTCGGTTATTCAACATAGAATGAAAACGTGTGATAGAAACAACGCTCGCCGCGCTGTACTCGAGCGAGGGCAGCGTGATGGAGCGCCACCACCTGGCGCAGGCCGCGTGCGTGCTCGGCGCGGAGGGCTGCGGCGTGCTGGACGCGCTGCCGCGCCGCCAGTACGACCGCGCCCTCGTGCTGCTGCGAGACTATATACTGGCTACGGATCTCGCTAATTATTTTAAGTTAGTTTTAATGAAAATTGAAATAGTTTTATACACCTTACTTGAGAAATGATTGATTCTCCATACAAACTTCCATTCACCTTTTTGTCTCCTTAAGGGATGATTTCCGGGATAAGAACTATCGTATGTCCTTCCCAGAGTCTAAAACTATCTCCAAACCAAATTTCATCTAAATTGGTTTACCGGATATTAAAGCTTGAAAAGGTAACAGAAAGATAGAAAGACCATTAGTATGGATACTTTCTTAGATTTACGCGATTATTTGACATTTTAAATATAAAACTACCTTTTCGGATTTTTTCAAATTTAACTTTTGGTTCCCAAAGTTTCGAAAGCTTTACAGCAATTATGGATAGTGAATTATTTCATGCAGTCACGGAGAAACTAAAATCTGCTTGCGAAAAGATAGTTTTATTTAAAATATTCTAATAGTTTTTTTTTGTAAGCCAAAGACTTATACTTATCATACAAACAATACAGGTTGAATGAGGAACATAGTATTCTCATGTGTTTTGTTTGCTTTTTACACAGTGGGTTTGTTTTTGTAAATCATTCTTTTATTTACAGATTATTAGTTTTGGTCATTTTTAGTTTTATTTAACAATTTCTTATCCTAAATTATTATTTGTTCCTTATAAGTTGTATATATTTTTGTATTAAATATCGATAACTCATCGTATATATAGAAGCCTCTGGTCAAATTATTCATGGTAGTAGCGCTGACATCACAAAATGAAAATGATTCAAATGAAATATCCTATATTATACAGGAATCTTAACGAATACAAGGCGATATCGTACGACTTCCAAAAGGGCAACCGCGCGCACACCAGCGCCCTGCAGTGCCTCATGATGAACGCGGCCGACCTCAGCGATCAGCTGAAAGATTGGGGCAGTGTGAAGAAAACTGCTGTTAGTTACTGAAAAATAGTTTATTTTCCTAAATAGCCTTGTTAACAATGTACAAGTGGAACAATAGGGTGTAATGTCTTTTTAGATCCTTCATAAAGGCATCTATTATTATAAGAAATGTTCATGTAAAACAATTGAGTTGTACCAGATGGCAAGCAGCTACGCATAAATAGTTTAAGGGTCCTTTATTGTGATGGGAACCTACACCCACTACCGCATTCATGTTCGTATAAAACCTTAGAAAATAAGTTAATATAGTTAGTTGTACTTGTCCTTTTTGTTTAAGGAAAGTTTTAAGCTATTTATAATTTAATATTACAAAATTAACTTTGTAGGCAGAGAGTCACAGGCAAATGCTTTTGATCTAATAACTTTATACTATTTTTTTTTGTTTAACGTTTTTCAATTTGCCTTCGTCGTAAATAATATCCAACCAGGCGGCAGTCCTAACGGAGTTCTTCAAGCAAGGCGACGTGGAGAAGAGTCGCGGCGACCTCCCCGTCAGCATCATGGACCGCGAGAAGTGCTTCATCCCGGACCTTGAGATACAGTTCCTCAATACGACCTGTATGCCGCTGTTCGAGTTAGTTATAACTCTGATTTTATATTAGATACTAGTGACTCACCCTCGCTTTGCTTAGGTTCGTCCTTAGCTCGATTCTCCATACAAACTTTCATCCCCATTTTCACCCCCTTAAGTGATGATTTCCGGAATAAAAAGTATCCTATGTCTTTCCCAGGGCCTCAAACAATCTTCTTATCAAATCTCATCTAAATCGGTTCAGTAGATCCAGAGATTACCCACTACAACGTCACAAACTTTACCTCTTTATAATATTAGTATAGACATGCGGATTACCCTCGTTTCGCTCGGGTACGTCCCTAGGAACGATTTGATTTATTTTTTTCTAATGTAAAAGTAGCCTTAGTTACTCCTTTCATGATCAGCTATTTAAAGTAGCCAGTGAAAGTCCCATCAAAATCAGTCCAGCCGTTTCGGCGATTAGCCGGAACAACAGACAAACAATTTTTTTTTAACACCGTATAGTATAATTTCATATGTATTTAATAAAATCTGTTATTTCGACGTTACAGACAGACACTTCAATTTTATTTAACTGTATAGATTGGATACGTAATATGTTTTTCCAGGTCATAGTTTGTCTGTGTACTAATCTTCATCCAAATCGATCCAGCCGTTTTAGAGCGAAGTAGTAACAAACATGCGCAATACAAATATTCGTATTTTTTGTAAATAAGTTTATCGCTATCGGATTGTCTTTTTTTTTATTTTGGCACATTAGAACACAGCAATGTGCCTGTGTTATGGATACCAGATAGTTGATACACTACACATATATAACTTTAAATACATACAAATTATAAATATAAACACCCATGACTGGAGTACCAACATCCGTGCTCATCGCACAAATTAATGCCTCCAGCGGGACTCGAACTTTGAAAAAATATATTTTTTGTCTCACAGTGTTTCATGAACTTTAAACTAATTTGAATTAATTTGTAAACGTTAGTTAAAATAATCGATCAAAAAAGTACTAGCTAGATACACAATCCCATGCAAAAGTTCCTTTTAAACTGTCACAAATTGTGTTTAGGTAATTATTGTAGTTGAAATAAATATACAACAATGTAAATTGAACCTTAAATGCAATGTTTAAAGTTGTTTTCACAAAAAATTTTTACAACCGCGTTCAAATGTTCAAATGAGCGCTCATTCGGTGAAGACATTTTTGTCGCTGATTGTGTATCTGGTACTATTTTGATCGATGGTTAAAATAAAGAAAAAGTATTTTGTTTTTAATTTAGAATAATATCGAGAATTCTACCAAAAGCACAGCCGTGTCTTAAAATAATAGAAAATCATACGGAGAGGTGGGACGCTGCCAAATCAGTGTTTGCGGAGGTATGGGTTCTTTTTAATTTTATATTATAATTCCACTGGTTTTTGAAGAGAAAACTTCTTCTATATGCAAGTTTGGATAGGGAGTAAATTCATGTAAGTCATCATCGACATGGTCACGTGACATGTTAACGCTAACACTCAGAATGCCGATAGGTAGATGTCAAAACCAGATAAATGTAAACAATTTTAATCAAACAATAATAAGCTTTTTTGACTTTTTGTACATAGATTATATAACTTTTAAGGTACCCATTACAGCCGGTCTATCTGTGCTTTTGAGTCCAGAGCTAGATAATTTAATTGAACAAAATATCAGAGAGAAAGAAAGACTTAAACTGGAAGGAGAAGCTGAGGGAGAGTAGGAGAGTTAAGTCTGTTTTCATTTCAAAATGTTTGTTTTGTTTTCTTTTCTAATAAATTAATGCTTACAATCTGAAATAAGTGCCCTACATTTCTTTATTTGTTCGATTTCGTTATATAAAAATATTGTTAATATGTAAAAAAAATATTATTAACATAGTGCTTAACAGAATATCTTAAATTATAAAATAAAATAGTAGATTTTTTTAGCAAAAAAAAAGATACATTGACCGGAAATCTCTTTCTATTCCACCGCTCTTTACTTCGGTTGCTGTGAATGTAAATTTAATATCGCGACCAAATTTGAGCGGTGCGTTAGCCGCCATCTTTGTTTTGAGGAGGAATTATTTTTCCTCAATATCTCGGTCAATTTTAATTTTTCGAGAAAAATCATAAGGACTAAAGTGGTTCACTATTAAATTCTCTACATTTTTATTTTTATGTCGATCGATATATTCCGAGTTAACGGGGAAACCCGGATGGGAACGTAATTATTAAATTATTTAATTTATTATTAGCTTTACGGCCACGGAAAAAGGAACACGGAATAAAGTTGTGTGGAATTATAATTCCTACAATATTGATCTCTACCATTATTTGAGGTCCAACTTCTTGTGAAATCGACCGTGCTATGGAGTAAGTTTTTAACTATGTTCAGGAAAACGCTGACGAGTATATGTGGGCTCATATTTTCGACAACCCGATTGGACTATAAGACGGAATCTTCTATTGTGTTCTCCAGAGAGAGAGAGAGAGAGAGAGAGAGAGAGAGATACTATAATGCGATGTGTTACCATGGTGATGCATAAATCAACAAATCACTACGCTAATAGATTCTGATCTTTGATATGGTTCATATATTTGATGCTCGCGAGACTCGAACTTATGACCTCTCTGTAAAGACAGTTATATTATTAATGTAACGGTGCTAAAGGGCGTGAATATTATAAATGTCCCATTAAAAGGTTTGAAATAAAATATTATTAGTTAATTGTTCTATTAATTTAATATGTATTATGTTATTTATATACAGAGTGTATGAAAGGGTGCTGCAATTTTTAATTGCTTCGATATAATCAAATATGGAATTATTTTTATCACAGAAACGAAATCCTTTGGAACCACATACATAGCACAAATAAATAAAAAAATTATACATTTTTTTTAAATGGTAACTCTGATATAAAAAATATAAAAACTCCCGAATGAAATAAATTTAAAAATGTTTAAAAAATCAATTTTACTATTAAATGCTTCAGTTTAATGTCATAGACATTTTTTTATTTCTATTTGTGCAAAAAAAGGTGCTTTTAAAAGGTGTAAAAAAACTATATATTGCTAGTGCATTTTTTCCTAAAAACGGTTATTTCAACCAATCAATCCGTTTTCTTTGGGCTGGAGCAGCTCAGTGATAAATTCTTTTACCATTTTCTCTAGTTCTATTATCTTTGCTTCTTGTTCACTGAAACAAAATAAATATTAATAATAATAAATAAATGTTAAAGTGATATTAACACACAGCGCCATCTAGTTCCATAGTAAGCTACGAGGCCTGTTTTATGGATACCAGATAGTTGATACACTACACATATATATTTTTTAAATACATACATATTATAAATATAAACACCCATGACTGGAGTACAAACATTCGTGCTCATCACACAAATGAATGCCCCCAGCGGGACTCGAACCCGCGACCGCTGGCACAGAAAGTAGTGTCACTACCAACTGAGCCAAACGTGTCGTCGAAAGAAGTCAAAAGAAGTTTAAAATCAAACATGATGGTATAGATACGGTTTTTAACGGTTAGTATGGAATAGATAGACTATATTTTATATGTATATACACAGTACATAGGGTTGATGAATTTTATATTCGTTATTTGAGAAATTATTGATTGACCATACAAACTTCCATTCCCTTTCCACCCCCTTAAGAAATGATTTCTGGGATAAAAACTATCCTATGTCCTTCCCAGTATCACAAAATATCTTCATCTTAAATTTCATTTAAATCAGCATAGCGCATTAAGCATGAAAATGTAACAGAGTTTATTTCATGTTTATATTTTTTTTTCATGAATAAGTGTAACACCTACAGACCACCCAACCACGTCCACCCACGTCCGTGCCTTTTTTGGGATATTTTTATGTTTTGTTGTTATTTTTTTTATATTTTATTTGAGATAGATTCGTATGTGTACAATTTCAAAATCAATTTCATTTGTCATAATTTTTTTTCGCATTTATAATATTAGTATACAGCTTTGGTAACCCAGTGGTAACGCGCTCGCTTGGGAAACCGAGTTATGCGAGTTCAAATCTCGGTGTCACGCACTTTTGATATTTTCATGTGCCCATCATTTCCAACATGCACACCACCTATCTTTCGCTGAAGGAAAACATCGTAGGGAAACTTGCATGTCTGAGAGAACCTAGCAAGTTTAAGAAAGACATGTAACGTCCTCCAAGCCCGCACTTGGCCAGCGTGGTGGACTATGGTTTGATTGATTGATTGGCTGCCTTGCAGTGGGACGTCAAAAATGGCTGAATATAATATAAATATGTGTACTCACGCCACAGTGGGCGCCTCGCAGGCCAGCTCGGTGTAGTATTTGAGTTTGGGTTCGGTGCCGCTCGTGCGCACGCTCACCGTCACGTGACCCACCGCGCTCGAGCACTCGAACGCGACCATCTCGCCGCTCCTGTAGTCCTGGTCGAGCCCCGTGCCCAGCACCTCTGTTGGGGGGACAGAGTTGGTTGTAGTTGTGAGGGGAGGTTCTATTGGGGGAAGTTGAGGAGGTGTTGTAGAGAGGGAGAGAGAGAGAGAGGTTGTGGGTGAGAGAGAGAGAGACAAAGAGATGAGAGGTAATAAAGATGGGGAAGGAGAAAGAGGGTAGCAGATGTCAAGGGAAATAGAACAGGAGGGAGAGATATACAGAGATATGTAAAAAAGCGAGATATGATTAATAATTGAGACTTAATAAATAAGGAGTTAGTGAGTTTTGTACAATTCAAGTTTAACTCGAAACCTTTGAGTTATTTCAGCGTGAATAAGTAACAAAAACACTGACTCATAAACATTCACATTTAAAGTATTAGTATGATTTAATATTACGCTCTAGATTTTTTTTGAAAGTAAAAAAAAATAAGTTTTTTTGCAGTTCCTATAAGGGTGGCATGGTCTCTATGATCAACCCCTTTTAAAAATAAAGAATAAAAAATAATAAAATAAAATCTTTTTACCTTCCCAAAAAAAATTTTTTTGGGAACATTTTTGAATATATAATAGATAACAATTACAATAATAATAATTACATTAATAATAATAACACTACTGCCATAGAAACGTTTGAACTTTTAGTTGTTAAACTTGTGTTGATCACGCGATTAATGCCCGATTTCACCAACGTCGCCTAAGTTTAAGGGATCCCCTAAGCATAGTTAGGGGGCTGTTATGGGACAGTTTCTGTTTCACCGACAGTTAGGGGTCACCTAAATGTTAAAATGCCACCTAAATATAGGTACTAGAAATACGGGCTCTGACGATGGTAAAACGAAATTTAATTTAGGAAATTCAGTTTAGGGGACTTTTAAGCTAGGGATCCCATACGTAGGTGGTAGCTTATGGGTTGTGGGTGAAATCGGGCACAAGTCCCATAGTATCATTATTACACAATTATGGAACGTGGTAATGTAAAGTTATATTTTTGATTACATCAGAACTCAAGTTTGCGATGTGACTGTGCAATAAAAACTAATAAACTATTTATTACATAATACTAACGGCTTACGTCTCTAGAAAAACGAAAACTATTCTGTCCCACGTGAACCGTACATTTTTCGGGATAAAAAGTAGCCTATGTGCTATTCCAGACTATAATCTATCTCTGTGCCAAATTTCATCCAGATCCGTTCAGCCGTTCTGGCGTGATTGCGTAACAAACATCCATCTAAACTCACATCTACATAAATGTATATAAATAATTCTTACTGAGATGTTGGTTGCTACAGTCCTCCGGTATGCGGATGCCGGCGGTGAAGTCGTTTATGAAATTTACTTCAGTAGAACCAACTTTCTTTGGATACTGTAAAAAATAATAAAAGTTATTAAAAATTATTATTATCTATATATTAATACGTGAAGCAAAAACTTTGTACCCCTTTTTACGAAAATTGCGCGGACGAAGGAGTATGAAATTTCCCACACTTATCCATACATATAATAAAATTGTAACTAAGCCGAATCTGTACATTAAATATTTTTTGGAAAATCTTATTGAAATAAACATCATTATCAATACACAGGCCAATTCTATAGTTTTAAGAATATTTGTCTGCCTGTCTGTTACCGCATCACGGAAAAACCACTGGAGGGATTTTGATGAAATTTGGTATGGTGGTAGCTGGTTATCCGGGTGAACATATGGGATACTTTTACTGCGGGAAAATATCTAATTTAATGTAAGAGTATACTAATATGTAAAACCTAAGAATTTGGTTTTTGGTCTTCTGAACGCGGGCGGAGCCGCGGGCAATGCTAGTAGTTTATATAGAGAAGAAGTGCAGAATGCTATTTTTTTTTAAATTATGCATAAAAAATACATTAAATCAATAAAAAAACATTACACACACTACCATGTATTTGACACACACACACGCATATATACTCTTTTGTTTATTGTAAAAGTCTGTGGTCAAATTGAGAATTGTTATATAGTTTAATAGCTATTGACGAAAAGTTTTATAAATAAAAAAAATCTATAATAATCATGGTCCAAGTTTGACCACTCGCCGAACTTTACTATATAGAATTCCCGTAAACGTAAGTTTTTAAAATATGTTAATAGTTATAAACATGTTTATTAACTTTTTAATAAAAAAAAATTTTTTTTTCTTTAAATAAAGATAAATAGGTATATTTCTAATTATAAATTCAAGTTAGTATAATAATGAGTATTATTCCATACAATGGATCTTTTTTAAATTTAAAAATTATGTAATAGTCTTTGTATTTAATATTAAAACGAAATCTAATCATATATAGCCTATGCCCAAAAAATAAAGCTACTGACCAAGCCAGGCCCATGGAAGTTCCTGATCCTGCTGAATATCTTGGGCACAATCCCCGCGTCCTCGAACGTGTAGTACGAATTGTATGAGGCGTGATACCCATACTGTGCATACAGCGCTCGCAGCTGGGCGAGCAGGGACGAACCCTTGGAGTACAGGTTAGATGCTAAGCATGCTACCTGGAATATGGAGAGCGACATTTTCATTATTATTATGACGTATAGCCAGTGATAGCTCTGATTAACAGAGTGAAGGGGGTTCAAATCCCGGGTTTCGAACTTATGATAATTTCATGTCCGAAAAAAAAACACAAAAAAGATTGACAACGTCAAAACAAAATTTATTGTGTAATCAAAATTTATTTGAAAATATAACCGAAAATAACATAAAAAAATTAGGTAATAGTATTAAAATAGTTTTAAAAGTTCCGCGATACAATGAAAATGGACAGGGAGAAGAAGAAGAAGAAGAAGAAGAAGAAGATATTTTCATGTCCGAATCGTTTCCAACATGATTTTAATTGCAATGCAGATTACCTTAGAATATTTTCCTTCATCGTAAGAAAAGTGGTAATCATGTTATGTAGATATTAGATATACGGGACCTGGAAATTGAACCCGCTTCACTGTTTCTCCAGCAAGTACATTACCACTGTGTTACCATCTTTGACATATTCCTCTTTTACTTCTTACAATCCCCTTTTAGTTGAAAAGCAATATAGAATTAGAATTATTAAGTTAATCGACCAACTGACTTGCACAGCAGCAGATATGCCGTCCTTGTCGGGCACCCGGTGGTGGCACATGTAGCCGATGGCCTCCTCGAACGCGAACAGGGGGTGCTTGCCTTGCTGCAGCAGTAACAGAGTTGTGTTACCTGTGGGAATTGATATGAAATAAACTTTATTCAATTATACTTATTATAAGCACTTAAATACCATAAATATAAATCAATTGATTCATTTATTTATATCGGCGATATCGGAAACGGCTCCAACGATTTCGCTGAAATTTGGTATGTGGGGGTTTTCGGGGGCGAAACATCGATCTAGATTAGTCTTATGTCTGGGAAAACGCGTGTTTTCGAGTTTTCATTAGGTTTTCTTTCGCATTATTCCACGCAAAATATGTATTAGTATCGTGTTCAAGCGGCTAAGGCGCAAGATTGACAATCATAGTCGTCCGGGTTCGAATCCCGGTCGGTTTTACTTTTGTTTTTTTTTGTATTTATTCAAGTTTTTTGTTTTTTTTTAAACTAAATTAAAAAGAAAATTGTACTTTTGGCCAAAAACTCCAAGCGAAGCTCGGTCGCCCAGGTTCTATTACAAATGCAACAGTTTGGATGTATGGTTGTTTGTTACTCAATCACGTCAAAACGGCTGAACGGGTTTGAATGATATTTGGCACGGAGGTAGATTATAGTATGGAATAGCACACAGGTTACTTTTTATCCCGGAAAATGTAAGGTTTCCGTGAGATAGATTTGTTTTTGTTCTTCACTAGGGACGAACGCAAGCGAAGCGAGGGTGAGTCGCTAGTCATACAATATAAATGAAATAGTTTTGATGAGAAGAGCCGGCGACAAACTTAACAGTTGCTCTTTTAAATATTGAAGTTACATTTATTTATTTTATTAACGTAACAATATAGTTAGCGCGCATATTAGTCAATATTTCTCTATACCACACATTTCCATCAACAAGAAACTCTTGAACAGTGTAATACACTTTGTTCAATAAAATATTTTTGATTTTATCTTTCAATTGTTGAAGAACTAATATTGTTAATCACATGACCACACAGATCGTCGTCTCAGTGCTTATTTGACCAAACAACTAATTTACCAAAAGAGTTTTTAATACTGATCTATAGGGCCCACCGCTCCAACACAATCAATTTAAATGGCAAAAGCTCAAACGAAAGAGCTCCAGCGAGTGTTCTTAGACCTTACCTCAATTAAAAAAAACAAAACGCTCACCCATCCATTTAAACCCTGTCAACGTCTCGACCAACTGTCCCTTTCCTTTCGCAATGGCTTTCAACATCTTGGAACTGACGAAGCTAGTTAGAAGATACACTTCATCCTCATCTGGAACGTTGTGGGCACAGTACTGCTGCAGCACCCACCACCCCAGTAGCGAGCCCATCTCGTTACCGGTGAACACTTTCCAAGACTTTGATCTTTTCATAGGAAAATGAGTGAAAATTAGTTACATATAGGCTTCAATTATCTAGTTATCTGGAATATGATTAATATAACTACCAGAAATAAAAAAAAATGAGAATTTAAAACGATTTAAGTCACTTGCTAAATATGTGGTGTCGAGGTAAAAAGCGATGAGTCAATAAATACAACTTTTCACCAGAGGCGAAAAATTAAAACGCTTATTCATTTCGAAACATAAATGTATTTTAACAAAAGAAAAGAAAAGGTTGTTTATAACAAGTTTGTCATTTTTTCATTTAAAAGTGTAGCCTTTTTATGGTAATTAAAAATCATATTTTTAATTATTATTTATTCAAATAAATGATCATATCAATAACTCATTTTTCATTTTTTATGACTCATCCCCTTTTACCTTGACAGAATTAACTCTTTGGTTTTAATTTGTTGTGTTTTAGTGTGTTTTGTGGTACGGAACTCTAAAAAGAAATTAACATTCCAATAATGAAATAACTCACTCATCATCATATTCAGCCACGGCTAGCCTATCAGCATCCGGGTCGTTCACTAAAACTAATTTGACGCCATTTTGTTCTGCCAATTTTCTACTGAGATCTAAACATTCCTTTTCCTCCGGATTGGGGAACTTCACTGTTGGAAAATCTGGGTTTGGGTCTTGTTGTTCAATCACACTCAAGGGTGGCTGAAATTTTTTCAAATAATTATTAATTTGATATAATTTACTAAAGTTTATAATGTGCCAAGATACAAAATAAAATACGTGCGACATACAGACGGACATACGAAGATAATAGAATTATACAGGTCCGGTTTCGGCTATGGAGCCTAGAAAAAATATATATAAACGTTATAAAAAATTACTAATACACGATCATTTATTAAAAAAAAACATACAATTATACCATATAATATATATTTTTTAAATAGAACTATCTTTTCGGACTTTTTAAATTTTTGGTTCCCGTTAAAAAGTACCATGAACACCAAAGGATAACATTTAAGCTATTTTAAAGCTGATGTATGTAAATTAAGTGTTTTTAATTAAAAAAAAATTTATTCTGTGAAAAAATAATCGGTATTTAAAGTAAATTACCTGTAAGTTAGCAGCTTTAAAAGCTTTCACGATACATTCGTAGCCCACGCCGTGCATAGCACTGTACACTGTGCGTATTTTTGCCTTCCTATTATCTTCTAGAACATTCTCGTCTAAGGTAGACTTAATATACTCCAAATACTTCGTAGTAACTTCCTCTGAACAGTCCATCACTAGTTCATGGGTTCGAATTTCGTCGATATTCCAGTGGTCGTCTGGTATGCTGTTTTTTTTTTAATTTTGATGTGGTAAATATAAGAACTAATTTTAAATAGATGGTAATTCAAGTAGATATTAGGGCATTATTTTGGCTATACATTCATGATAACTTAGTATAATTATTTTTGATGAATTTTTGCGCTTTATTTTTTATAAATTAGCAACTTTTTTAAAGTTGGCCATGACTTTGGTTAAAATCAAAGATGCCTATAATATTCTAATCTTTTTTTTGACTAATGGGAAGGCATATTTATTGCATTTCCTATAGTTATGTTTTTTTATTATAACATTTGTAAAGTCTATATAAGTATAAACTAGCGGCTCACCCTCGCTTCGCTCAGGTTCGTCCCTAGGAACGTTTTAAATAGATATACGTAAACACCCAGCGTTAGCCACGTAAATTTCAATAATTTTTCTCCGTGAATTTTTCCCATCTTTTAATAGTTATTCCGCTATTCGGGGCGGAGACAAATCCAACAAATCAAAGATAATAAAAATCGGTCCAGCCGTTCTCGAGTTATAAGTGTTGTAACAAACTCGACTTTGTTTTATATATATTACTAGCAGAACGCGGCTTCGCTCGCGCTAAAACTACAAAAGTAATCTAAAAAGGTAGTTTCATACAAACTTTCATCCCCTATTTTACCCTTTATAGAATGAATTTCGAAAAATGCTTAAACACGTATTTATTTAATTTTATTGAAGAGCATTAATACCTAGTTTTAAGTAATTCTGATCCTAAATATTTTTTTGGATTGTATTATAACGTGTTTTCCCGTGGGTATTAGATAATATCCCGCGGTTAAAAGTAGCCTATGTCACTCTCCAGCCCTCCAACTATCTCCACACAAAAAATCACTCCAATCCGTCTCTCCGTCTCGACGTGAAAGAAGGACAAACAAACAGACTTTCATATTTATAATATTATATGGATATAGATTACTAACCAAAAATATAAAAACTTTATCATTATCAAAAACGAACCGGGAAATTAGACAGTATTATTGTGTATTCTATCAAACTAATGAAATCGTAATTGTATTTAATGCGAGTAATTTAGCAATGACATCATTCTGCATTATGATACAGAAATATTCCATAATTGATTCCAATCGTTCAATTAAGCTGTATCGATGCCAGTTGTACGCTTATTTTAAAGTTACTAGTTTTCTGCCCCTTTACCTACCATAATAATAAAGAGCGATGAAATATATTTTAACTATTAGCTTAGCCAGGTCAGGAGACCTTTAATTTCTAAAGAAAGTACCCAAAAATTAAGAAAAAAATCTTTTTTTTTTTTTCAAGAGAAATTGGCTTTGAACAGCCAATTTGATTTTTAATAATACCGACACTCGCGTCATCAAGACGAGTCGAACGACATATAAATCATCAAAATCGGTTCAATTGTTTAGTAATTACAAGGGAACATAGGGTCATACATACATACATCCAAGTCAAACACATAGTCTTCCTCTGGACTTCGCCGCAGTCGAATAAAAAATAGGATATTTAAGATTTTGATCATTATTTCGGACTTACTCCATACAACTCCAGATTTCATCCAATATGTTGTCATCATGGGGAGTTATGACTTGAGAACCGTTGCTCCAATACACTTTATACCCGTTATCATCTTTTGGATTATGGGATGCTGTGACCATCACTCCTGCGGTGGCCCCATATAGGATAGTTGCGAAGGACACCAAAGGTGTCGGACACACGGACGAAAACAAATGTACTGGTATAGACGATGAGATGAAAACCTTAGCTGTTAGCTCTGCGAACCTGTAATTTCAATTTTTAGCTGTATTTTCTGTATATAAGTTTATATTATCTATACATATAATAAAATTGTAACTAAGCCAAATCTGTACGTACATGACATATTTTTTGGACAATCTTATTGTAATAGACATTATTAGCGATATAGAGGCCGAATCTATAGTTTTTAGAATTTTTGTCTGTCTGTCTGACTGTCTGTTACAGCATTACAGAAAAGCCACTGGATTGATTTTGTTGAAATTTTGTATGGTCGTAGCTGGTTATCCGGGTCAACATATAGGGTACATTTTACAGCGGGAAAATATCTCATTTCTGAGAAAAAAATACAAAAACTGCACAAACATTATAAGAGTATATTAATATGTAAAATCTAAGAATTTGCTTTTTGGTCATCTGAACGCGAGCGGAGCCGCGGGCAATGCTAGTTACAAATAAAATTTAAATTTTTTTGGGAACTTCAAATTAATATTTTAAAATTTTTCGCAAACACTTTTGAACCTTTAATTGAATATTAATACTATTGGCTCGATAATAATTAGTCGAGAATTATGTCTAAAAAATCACTCTCGCTACGCTCGGATTCGTGCCTAGGTTGATTCCCCATACAAACTTTAGAGATGATTTCCGGGATAAAACGTATCCTGTCCTTTCCAGGGTGTCAAACTATCTAAATCAGTTCAGTAGATCCAAAGATTACCCCCTACAATATCACAAACTCACAAACTTTACCTCTTTATAATATTAGTATAGATTTGTAAGTCAAAGTAAAGGGAGGAGGAGAAAGGAAAAACTTTACATCGTGGATTTTTGGTCAAAACAATTTGTAGAATTGAAATGGTTATATAGTAATTAGATATAAGTGAAATTTATATTAGAGTGAAATATGTTATAAAAATAACATATCTTCTTGTTACGTCATCACTAGAATATACTCGTAAATTAACCATGAATATGTATCGCTAGCACAATGTAGGTAGATTCATCTTTAAATTGTATCATATTGAAATGACTACAGCCAATTGCTGTTAAAAGATAAGTTATCTGTATCGTTAGATATTTATTACTGTTATTTATAATTCATGACTTACTTTATTTAACATTTACCTACTAACAATTTTATCGTCCTGCTGTTTGTTAATTTCATTAGGAAACGAGGTTTTGTTATTTAAACACGAAGATTTTCAATTTTTATTTTATATTATAAAAATCTGTGTTTTAAAAGACACAACACTAGTTGACATTAATGTTTAATTAAATTTTTCAATCTGTAGTAAGGCATTTTTACAGACAATTCACCATATATTAAAACATTAGCATTACCCGCGGCTCCGTCCGCGTTCAGATGACCAAAAACCAAATTCTTAGGTTTTACATATTAGTATACTCTCACATTGCAGTTTTTGTATTTTTTCTCAGAAATGAGATATTTTCCCGCGGTGAAAGTGTCTTATATGTTAACCCGGATAATCAGCTATCACCATACCAAATTTCATCAAAATCCCTCCAGTGGTTTTTCCGTGATGCGGTAACAGAAAGACAGACACATCGACAAAAATTCTTAAAACTATTGATTCGGCCTCTGTATCGAAAATAATGTCTATTCTTATAAGATTTTCCAAAAAATATTTCATGTACAGATTCGGCTCAGTTAGAATTTTATTATATTATGTATAGAAGATAACGTACTGTATAAATACTAGCTTTTGTCCGCGTCATCCTCTACCCTCTAGGAGTCTAGACAAACGAGATTAGCCGAGAGTTCAAGTATATGTAAGATGTAATTTTGACTGTAGAACATACACAAAGTAATGTTTATCGTTGCCATTGACCTCTGTAGTTTCATCATTGTCGTTATACCACGTAATACACGATAAGGTGTCAATTTTCTGATAATACTGATACTCGTATTATGCATTATCACAATTATTTAACACTTTAGATAAAAAAAAATAAAAAGTATTATGTGTAATTTCTGTTTCCACGCGCTACATTTGCCCATTTTCATTGTATTTCTAGCACGTAGAAATGAATTTTTTTTTATATGAAATCTAAAAGTTAAAATTATATTTTTCAAAGATTGCACGAATATATATATATATATTTTTTTTTCGATATTTTTTTGAAACTTGAAATTTAATAACAAATCGCGTTCGAAAGGTTTTAATTTTTGATGAGAAAACCTCTTTAATAAAAAAAAGTTATTAGAACTTTCAGAATAAAAAAAAATGTAGGTACCATGGTATTATTTTTTATTCATTAGGGACAAAAATTGACAAAACTCGTAATTACAAACTTACCGCTTGCTATTGTATCGCCCGTCATAGCCCACCACAACGCCATTGCGTAGTTGTTCTTGATTACATATTTTTTGAACGTAAGAACACAAACCCTGCAAAAATATTTTTACATATTATATATTTCCATAAAAGCTTAAAAATTTTTTTTAATAAAAATTAAATGTACATCAAACTTGAAGCTATATATTTAGATCATTTCGTGCGAGAATCGAACCCAAGATTTTTCAAAATCCAATGCCAATCTGACAAGTCACATATTGCACGGCCAAAGTCTTCAATAAGAAATTATTTTAAACTAAATTAATTAGCTTTCATCATTCATGTCCTTTCAATTCTGCCATTGGCAAATTAAACTGTTTCAATTGGTGCAAATACAAGCTATTAAAAATATTGAGTTAAATCGTATTAGATGTTTGATACAAATTGTTTAAACATTAAGAAATATCTATATGTACATATAATAAAATTGTGACTAAGCCAAATCTTAATTTAAGTAAAATCTTATTGAAATAGTCATTATTATCGATACAGAGGCCGAATCTATAGTTTTTAGAATTTTTGTGTCTGTCTGTTACCGCATCACGAGAAAATTACTGGACAGATTTTGATGAAATTTGGTATGGTGATAGCTAGTTATCCGGGTCAACATATAAGATACTTTTTACTGCGGGAAAATATCTCATCTTTGAGAAATCTATACTAAACCTTAAAACGTAAGTAGGGACGAACTCAAGCGAAGCGAGGTTGAGTCGCTAGTTTTAAATATATTCAAATAGAAAAAAAAGAAACATTCACCTTTTAAAGTTGGTGTAAAAGAGTTGGTTACTAACCTGAATGGGTATACTTTTTAATGTTAATATGTTTATTTTAACATACCTGAGCTGTTTGTAAAACAACTACATCGTTCATACACATGTATCCGGCGCCCATGCGCCCGCGTAGGCCCGCTGTGCCAAACTTCTGTCTTTGCAACATAGTTTTTTTTAATTTGTCCCATCTTGACTCTTTTATATCATCTAAAACTTCTTGACGGGTTTGTGGATTCTATAATAAAATAAATATGTATTATATAAATAAATAAAAAATAATAGTTTTCAGAAATTGCTATAAAATGTTATGTTAATGCAGGAGTCCCAACCAGGGAGGTTGGGCGTAAAGAGAGTTAATTTTGTATAACTTAAAAGTGAAAAAAATAAAAATCATTAAATATTTTTTTGTTTTTTATATAAAAAAAAAGGGTGGCATGAAAATATTTTTTATAATCCAGAGAGACTCAAGAGAACGGTTGGGAAACTCTGTGTTAAAGAATAAGAAATAACTTGTAAAAGCAATTAATGATATTTACTAAATTTTAAAATTTACTTCATTGTTTAGTGCTTATACTTTGCCATCAAGACAATGTTATTAGGAGATTTACTTTATTATATATTTCTCTGCACTTTTAACATGCTTCAGTTCAAATTAAATAGGAACAAGGATTTTAAGTAGTAATACAAAAGGAATTTGTATTATTAAATAACTCAATAATACAAATTCATTATATATAATTTCGAACAAAAATTCTGATACATGGAGGTCATCAAAAGAAAAAATCACAATAAAGATTATTGAAGACAAATGAAACATAAAAAAACTTATAAAGAATATATTTTTGATAACTTTGATATCCTTATAATATTAAACTGTGTAATGCATTAATTTTCACCTATCACTTTCAATGACTTGACCTTCAGGAATCTGTTCATGGGTTAACCTTGGCTATTATTATTCTCAGCTATTACATTTCTACTTTTGAGATTTATGACATGTCACATGTTTAAAAATATCTAGATTATTCTATGTAGAAAATGATGATGTGTTTTGTTGTTTTAATTTGGTATGTCTACTGGAAATACACTTTGTAATTGCTAAGGTTTGTAAAGATGACAAAATTCTTTTTAATTATTGTGTAAATGAGAATATACAGTTTCTTAAAAGATATCACACAATTGTTTTTTTTTACTAAAATGTCATGCTGTAATATAGCAAATATAATATAGTTTTTTTTAAATATTAGAACATGACATATGACTCTTTATTGAATATAATGTGATAACAAGATTTAATATTTACAAAAAAAATGAAGTACCTATGTAATATCTTTTTCAGTATAAGTACTTCTGGAACAAATTTGTTTTATGTACTCACCTTATCTTGTTTTAACCATCCATTAACAGCGGTATCCAATTTGGAATCACCACTTACACATTCAATCATTTTACACACTTTTAAGTTAAACTTTGTAAAGGTAATCCAGCAGGAGGACGGCAGTTGTGCTGCTTTCTAAGTGTAGATAAATTAAGTAAGATCAGTTCTGTTAAGTACTTTTATTAAAACTAATCGTTTCGGTATATCTCGCTGCAGCTAGATTTTAGCAAAGCAATGTAATATTATACTGTTAACTGTAAATTAAACGAATTTCATTCGCTCTAAGGAAATATTTAAATCTATATTCTATATTATACGAGTTTAAACCTTTTGTACCAGTATTAAAACTTATATTTATGATTTAAGCATTAACTCAACCTGCCCAATGGCAGTTTATTTGTCAATGTCAATTATCGATCTTGACATTGACAGTTAACTAGTATAGCTGTACCAAAATATTTTATCAATGGCACCCTTTAACGCCATTATGCGATATAAGAAAATTAAATTGAAAATATTTTATGGTATAAAGAATATTAAAGAAAGAAAACCTATTATTTAGGATAAACCATGCCCTTATCTATATATATTTTATATATATAAAACAAAGTCGGGCTTGTTACAACACTTATAAGTCGAGAACTGCTGGACCAATTTTTATGATGTTTGTTTTGTTGGATTTGCCTTCACCCCGAATAGCAGAATAACTATTAAAACATCGGAAAAATTCACGATTTTTTTTTTGAAAAAAAAAAACTATTCCATACTAAGCGTCAAAACGTATTTAGGGACGAACCTGAGTAAAGCGAGGGTGAGTCGCTAGTAGTAAATATACGAGTTTAATAAAATAAATTATTTTATACATTAGTACATAATACATAAGTAATTTATTCCTGAATAAATTATTAAAAAGCTCTATGAGAGATATTGCTATCGTTACTAAAAAGGCGTAAGGATATTATTCTTTATCAGACGTTAAATATTTAGCTCAATAGATAATCGAGTATTGAGCATTTACTTATAAGCACTGTAGAATTTACAGTGCAGACATTAATAGTAAAATAACGCTTAATATAATAAAATTATGTCAAATCGTTAAAGTATAAATAACATTGTTGATCCGTCGCTGTATGGAAGAAATATAAACTAATAAACGCACTATCGTATAATTATATTATGTGTGAGGCTGAGGAATAAGGATCATTATATTCATATTAATAACCCAACACTGCTCCTTAATAAGGGTAAATCCGTCAATAAAATAATGTGTTGCGCAAAAATAAATTAGGTTCCTATGGAATATTTATACCGTTAGATACAACTAGCAGAACCCGCGGCTACGCCCACGTTCAATCTACATAAAAAAATCTGTTTGGCTTTATGTTATGCAGCGACTCACCTTGCTCCGCTCGGTTTCGCCGCTATGTATTTATATAATATTGTTCATACAAAAATATTAAAAACGCGATTAAAAAATAAGGGTGGGGGTAGGGGGGGGTAGGGGGGGGGGTAGGGGGGGGGGTAGGTATTCTCATACCTACCAAATATACAAAAAATTATTAAAATCGGTCGAACCGTTTCGGAGAAGTGCGAGCACAAAAACCGTAACACGATATATGATATCATAAGAGATTTCGCAGTGAATTGTAACCGCATTCAGCACCGTATCTAGCTAAGTAATTGTATAAGATTGTTTTCGTTTAATTAAAAAAAATCTTTATTTAACATACGGACTACGGTCGGTCCTCTATAGAAAACTAAATGACAGTAAAACTCTTATCAATTCTATTTATATACAAACAAAGTAAAAAAAAAATATTTTGCAAATAAAGAAAATATGTACGTAGTTATGACACTCATTTATTAACCGTATTAACTTGCTTAAAAAGTTGCGTAAAGCGAATGTACTGCAATATCAGTATACCTAATATATAAACAATTGTAGAAAAAATATATGTAAACGATATAATATGACTCATGATAACATGCGGTCTAGTGGGCCGGGGACTTCACCACCTCATATACTCGTATGTAGTCACAATGCCTATTGAATTGATAAAACGTGCATCTTCCTCAAATGCAAAGTTACTCACACTATCTTGTTATTTGTGATACGATTTTATATAATACAAATTAATATGGGTATCTACCAAATTTTTGTGAACCCATTTTTTCTCTTAGTACCTTATTGGATTTTTATTATGTCTAATGTTTACACGTTTAAAAAAGTATATTATTGGTTTAAATAAAAAAGTTAACAACTATCTTTATTTTTTAACAAGAGAACTGCACAGCTCAGCGATATATTATGTAGCTCGTTATAGTTTACCTATAATTAAATGGCTATGATATACGGACAGACGGTCATGACGAAATTACAAGGGATTTGTAGCCTGCGTTCTAGTCCGTCCAATAATTTCATAGCGATGCACAATTTAATGACATTAACATAAATTTAAAAAATTACAACAACACATTATATTAAAAAAAAAATTAAAAAGTGCATGAATTAATGTGTACACGCGCAAGAGGTAAAACTTCTGTAGGTTATCGGTACTCTTTATAAAATTTAATGTATGTTTTAAATAATTAAGATAGGTGATATACTAAAAAAACGTGTGTATGTACTTATGTACACACGTAAGAAGTTATACTTCTTTTACGTAACAGAACGAAAATAGTTAAAGATTTCATATTAAAAAAATCAAACAAGTTTTGTTGAAGAGTTCCACCTATCCACCTTCTGGCCTTACCATCAGATCAGGTCAACAACACCGAACCACTGTACTATCAACGGAAATAGAAATACTTGCAAAGTTTCAAGTCAATATGACAATTAGAAATAGGTTAAATTCATTATTAGCTATTTTTCCACCCTGAGGGGTGGTTTTTTTTATGAAATTTAAATGGAACCAATCTGGAAGTATACACTTTCAAAAAAAAACAAAAATTGTCCAAATCGGTTCATAAATGACGGAGCTCTGAAGTAACAAACATAAAAAAAATATACAGCTGAATTGAGAACCTCCTCCTTTTTGAGGAAATCGGTTGAAAATTACAGATTTTATCAGTAGGTAAGTAGTTGTATTATCGCAGTAATATTATTATCTTTATGTAAACAAATGAAAAAACAAAATTTTAACCATGTTCGAATGTTTGGTATACAAGGAATGCATATATTTTATTTTATTGTTACCACTGTTTTTTACAGACTGATAACGCTTAACTGTTTCAAAGTCGTTATAAATACTTGAGATGACTATAATATAAAATAGCAGTTGAGGGAAAATTTAATTAACTTTAACTATAAAATAAAACGAATAAACTAATTATCAAAATAAACAAAATTCTTAATATATATCCCCGAAACTTACATGTATGCAAAAATATAATTATAGCTTGGTTGTTAGACTTGACACATATGTCAACCGATAACTTACTAAAATAGGTACATTTTATATGGCTGACACACGCACGCACGTACGCACGCACGCACGCACGCACGCACGCACGCACGCACGCACGCACGCACGCACGAACGCACGCACGCACACACGCACACACACACACACACACACACACACACACACACACACACACACACACACACACCGTCAAGCCACTTATACTATACACCCATAATAACTAATATCTTAAATTAATTTTACTTTTAAATCTTATATTGGAACATAATGTATATTTATATAATCTGGAGGTGGGCGTTAATGACTACGACACAGTTTTCAACCGACTTCAAAAAGGAGGAGGTTCTCAATTCGACTGTATGTTTTTTTTTATGTTTGTTACCTCAGAACTCCGTCATTTATTAACCGATTTGGACAATTTTTGTTTTGTTTGAAAGGGTATACTTCCAGATTGGTCCCATTTAAATTCCAAAAAAAAACCACCCCTAAGGGTAGAAAAACAACTAATGATGAATTTAACCTACTTCTAATTGTCATATTGACTTGAAACTTTGCAAGTATTTCTATTTCCGTTGATTACAGTGGTTCGGTGTTGTTGACCTGATCTGATGGCAAGGCCAGAAGGTGGATAGGTGGAACTCTTCAACGGCTAATAGTAGATACTTTGAGTTTGGGCTTATTTTGTTTGATTTGACAAGCCTAACACGTTAGAATTCTTACTGTGCTACTACTGTCTACACTAAAAAGGGAAAAATAAAAACCGACTTTAAACAAAAGCACTAAAAAGTAAAAAATAACTGATTGGTAGTTTTTATTTACTATACATACCTAATCAAATATTTTCGAAGTCGGTGTGCTTTGGCTAAATAATTAAAGCCTACCTATTAAATACATACCTAATCAAATATTTTCGAAATCGGTGCCAGCTCATACAAAGCAAAGCACACCGACTTCGAAAATATTTGATTAGGTATGTATAGTAAATGAAAACTACCAATCAGTTATTTTTTACTTTTTAGTGCTTTTGTTTGAAGTCGGTTTTTATTTTTTTGTTATAACGAATGTAGATCCTTAATCGAACATAATTTTATAAATTGTAATCTTTAAAACGTGCCCAATAAAGATTTTTATTATTTAAAAAAAATCTTCGTTCTCTACAATATTAGTTAAGAATCAAATTATAAGTATAGAATACTTATATTTTACTAGCGATTTATACTAGCAGAACTAATTGGAAGTCTTGAAAAATTGAGTTCAATTATTATGAGAAAATTTTGCATTTCAAAAGCGAATATTAAATAGAAATTATTTAAATAGTTTATTTTTTATTAGATACGCGTCTAAATTTTGTCATTGATTTGGCTTATGGCAGTTGAAATTATTGATTTTCTCACTGAGGATGAAAGACAAAAACAATGTGTATTCAACCCTTTTTAACGTCCCGCTAGAGCCAGAAGTCCATTCTCGAAGAACTTGGCATCAAGCAACGTCTATCCTCCACTGTAAAGTCTCGCATTCTCACTTTCTTTGGTCATGTAACAACAACAAGACGTGATGATGTTTCGATTGAACGTTTAGTGGTTCAAGGAAGAGTAGAGGGCACTAGAGCACGTGGCAGAACGCCCATGAGGTGGACAGACCAAGTGAGGGCTGCGATGAATGTTCCCTTACACGAATGCACGAAGAAAGCGGCTGTTAGAGAGGAGTGGCGACGAGTAGTCAAGCGTGCCACAACGCTCAAGTGACGACCACGACCACTCTGTCAAGAGTGTAGCGACTTAGAAGTAGAAGAGCCAGAAAGTGTATAATCTCTCTTTTTCTCCTTTGAATCTATGTTGACGATTATTATCTATACTAATATTATTGTTTGTTTGTTTATTTGTTTGTTTGAACGCGCTAATCTCAGTAACTACTAATCTGATTAGAAAAAATATTTTTTTGAATTAGATAGCCCGTTTATTGAGGAATAGGTTATATACCATCCCGGGAAAATGTACGGTTCCCGTGGGATAAATTTATTTTTGTCTAGGACGAACCCGAAGTGAAGCGAGGTTGAGTCGCTAGTTCAACATATTTATGTTAAAACAATTATATAAAACCTGTATAATCCCATAAAACAACAGACATAATAATTTGAATTCAACATAGAAACGGTGAAAGATTGTGTTTGACCTCAGTAATTAATATGCCGATGCTCGTACTTTATTAATATTATTGAAATAAACAAAATAGTTTTATTACCAAGCTTCGCAATCAGCAATTGATAAGAAGAATTCCCCTTTATTCTTCATACAAAGAGTCCCAATCGTAGCGAAGTATAAAATCCTTACTTCTCTAAAGAAAAAGCAAACGCATCGAAGCATTTGTAGTGGAAAGTCGCTTACAAATAAAAACGAAAATGAAATTCGCCGTTGTACTAGTAGCTGTAGCGATGGTGTTCCTGCAAGCTGAAGGGAGGACCTTCACGAGATGTCAACTCGTTCAGGAATTGAGGAGTCAAGGATTCCCGGAGTCGAAACTTAGAGATTGTAAGTGATTTTTGATTATCAAGTTTGCGTTTTTTTTCGAGCTATTTAATTTAACATTATATTTCAAGTTTTTTTTAAAATTCTAAATCGATTAAATCTTTTCAATTAATGGTTTATATACGTTATATGATCCATTTTTTTAACGCCTACGCAATAAGAAGTATGTCTGCATCGTAGCTCTCAATCGGATGGGCCGATTTCGATGCGTTGTTTTTAATTTGAAAGCCAGTTTCCTTGCGGTGGTTCTTAGCTATGTTTGACGGTCCAGCAGTGTAAAAGTATCAGCTCTTTTCCAAAATGATGTAAGGCATTTTGGCGTATGATTACTCGATTAAGTACTTGACGCGTGCCACTGTATAATGGTAATCGTCAAATGACAATTAATTTACATAGTAGGTTTTTTAAATTTTTAATTTATAATTATTTAAAGATAGTAAGCATCATATGTACCTACATCTTTTGAGCGCCTTTAATTATTTTATAATTATAATTTCAGGGGTTTGTTTAGTTGAAAACGAGAGTTCGCGCACAACAAGCAAAGTTGGCAAAGTAAACAAGAATGGTTCCGTCGACTACGGCCTCTTCCAGATAAACGATAAATACTGGTGCAGCAAAACTAGTACTCCAGGAAAGGATTGTAATGTTACCTGTTCAGGTAAGCCCCCTGCCCCACCTACCTTTGAACAAAGCAATAACCAATACATTTTATTATCATTGGAATGAATATATATGTATATATATCTTACCGGTGGTAGGACTCTGTCAAGCCTGAGGAGTCCGACTGGATGGGTACCACCCCTTATCTATTTCTCCCGCCAAGCAACAATAATTACATTGTTGTGTTCCGGTTTGAAGAATAAGGTAGCCAGCGCAATTAGAGGCAAGAGGCATATCATCTTAGTCCTCACAGTGAAAAAGTACCGGCGGTTCTGCATTTTTGTAACATAAAACTTAAGTGCATGAACCGTAGGTGTTATGGGTGATAGGTACCACTTTCCATCAGGTGTGCTGTCTGCTCGTTTATCACTTAGGACTATAAAAGAAAAAAAACCTTTGTCCGTTTGTCTAAGGCTCTTTAAAACGTATACGGTGCTAAATCATTTATCCAATTACAATGCTATTTGAGTTTGCAGATTTGTGAAGGCATACATAATTGATATCATCTATGTTTCATAGACGTTTATTTTAATAGTTTTTGATTTATTTTAATAGTAGTGTAATAAATTAAAAAAAATAATAATATTAATTACAGATCTTCTAACCGATGACATCACAAAAGCAGCAACTTGCGCCAAGAAGATTTACAAGCGACATGGTTTCAACGCGTGGTACGGCTGGAAGAACCACTGCCAAAGCGGCTTACCTGATATCAGCTCCTGTTAAATTTATATGAAGAGGCTGTGAGGGGTCATCATCTAAGGACAAACGGTTCCAATCCTCGAATATGACTCTTCTCTACTGTTTATACACCGTATTAATTTTTATTAATATGTTTTAAAGACTTGTTTATAAGATACTTTTGTCAATTTTGTTCTCATTTTATGTAGCTGATACGTGTACAAATAAATATATAAATCATTTATTTAATTTTTAATCATAATGATAACATTAATCATCAGACATAAGTCATATTTATTCTTTTTGAAAATACTTAATTTGTTTTGTTATTTCCTATACTAATACTAATATACTAATCTATACTAATATTATAAATGTGAAAGTTTGTGATTATGGATGTATGGATGTTTGTTACTCTTTCACGCCAGAACGGCTGAACGGATCTGTATGAAATTTGGCACAGAGATTGATTAGATGAGATAGTCTGGAATAACAAATAGGCGGTTCCCGTAGGATAGGTTTGTTTTTGTTTTCCTAGAGGCGAAGTCGAGCGAAGCGAGGGTGCTAGTGCTATTATAAATGAGAAAGTAACTCGATTCGTTTGTTTCTCTGTTACCTTTTCTAGACTAAACGGCTGAACCGATTTTAAAAAGTGTGATATTTGAAAAAAAAGTGGTATATTTGATGTGTTATTGATGATATGAAGAATTTGTTAAATACTTTTTTATAAGATTTTAAACGTACTACAAATTTGCTATTTAACATTTTTCTCTAACTCTTACAGTTTAGCTAAAGCATGCAAAAAACGTAAATTTGAGCTTCAAATCCATATAACAAATCAAATATTGAAGATAGAAATTCGACTCAATGTAACTTTTTGTAGAAAATTTAATAGTAAAAATTGTCCATTCATTCATTTTCTTGAAAAATATTTTCGTCATAGTTTGCAGGACAAAAAAGTGCTTAAAATCATACTTTCCATGTAATTTGTATGGGAAAACTTAAAATTCGATGGAGAACCTCTTAGAATTAGAATTTTGAGCTCCGCTTTTAACAGGAGCTTTGTTGGGATATTTTCTGAGATATTTTGGGGTGAGAGCGAAGAAAAAAAAATAATGAGTAAGCTGCTAGTTTATATAACTTTTAAAAACGATTTTTTTTAAATGTATATATCTATACTAATATTATAAAGAGGTAAAGTTTGTGATCTTGTGAGTTTGTGAGTTTGTGACGTTGTAGGGGGTAATCTCTGGATCTATTGAACCGATTTTTAAAATTCTTTTACCAATAAAACCACGTTCTTTCTGAGTGTCATAGGCTATATATTAACCCGAAAAATGAAAAGGCTTTTTCGTGGTAGTCGGATTTGCAAAGTAAGTCGGACAAAAACGGTCGAACGAAAACGTTTCTTACGAACGCTGCCTTAACGATGAGAGATATATGATTATGTTCTAGAGAAAAGTTGTAGAGCTTAATAATGTCTACAAAAAAGTCAGCGACAGCATATGTCTAACTTTTATATTTAAGACACAAAAAGTAGTTTTTTATATTAAAAAAATAATTGAAATCGGTAGATCATGTTTATTGGTCATATTAACAACAATTATGAATTATTATCAAAATAAGTAAATTTATCGTCTAAAATGTTTAAAACAAAAGACTTTTCCCTTTTACTGCATATAATTTGTACAAATGGTTAAAGAGATAATACAACATATTCGTAGGTATGGACGAACCCGAGCGAGCTATTTGTCTGTTTTTCTGTTTGTACGGGCTAATCTCCGAATCTATTGGACCGATTTAACTGAAATTTTGCAAGGTGGTACCTTATATCCCCGAGTAACATCATTTTCATCCCGGAAAATTAAAGAGTTCTCGTGGGATAGTTGTAAAATTATAACAACTTATACAGCTTAGTACACAAAAAGTACTGATTGGATTTTAATAAAACTTTACAATAATATAGTTCATACATGACAAAAACAAATCAGCTACTTTTCATCCCAAAAAATTAAAGAGTTTCCGTGGGATAGTCAAAAAACTATAGTAACTTATACAGCTTATTACACAACAACTTATGCACCTAATTTAGTAAAATTTGGCATGCTGATACCTTATATTGCCGGTCAAACAACAAGTTACTTTTCATCCCGGAAAAATGAACGGTTTCCGTGGGATAATCCGTTTGTGCTTTTCGGAGGCTTTTTTTTAAAGGCGATCCCGAGAGAAGCGAGGGTGAGCCGCTAGTTATTAATAAAATCATTTACATTATTATATTATTAGATTATAATTGATATTTTTTATTTAGTAAAAACATGGTAAGAATTCTAAGTCAACATTCTTCGTGTTAATACTTTTGTTCCAAACTTGCCCCATTACCTCGAAACCGACACGTCTAAGCCTTAATGTAGTGATAATTAAACTTGTATTAGAGAGATATACGAGAGGAATGCACTATAAAGGGATAGTTTCTAAATGCTGCGGCGGTTTTCATAGACTTAGCACGTATAAAGTAACCTAAATAGTTTCTAATACCACTAGTATTTGTTCGAGACTTTGCGCGGATTGTTTTGAAATTTAAGATACTTCACAATTTTTTAGTACCTACTTATAGGTAATAATTTTATAACAGGTACTAAGCTTAGATCTCTATTGCTCTTAACTCCACGTCTCACTTAAGTCTTTATAAAAATATTCATTGGTTCGTCTTTTTGTTATGAACCAATCTAATTACGATAATGCGTAGACTTGATAATTAGTACAGGAAAAGAAATAGGGTTGAATAAGAATATAATAAAATATTTATAGGTTTATTTTATTTTTTATTTTTAATATAGGTATTCGGGAAACATATAATAAAATTGTAACTAAGCCGAATCTCTACATTAAATATTTTTTGGAAAATCTTATTGGAATAGACATCGATACAGAGGCCGAATCTATAGTTTTTAGAATTTTTGTCTGTATGTCTGTCTGTTAACGCATCACAGAAAAACCACTCGAGGGATTTTGATGAAATTTGGTATGATGATAGCTGTTTATCCGGGTCAATACATAGGATAATTTTTACCGCGGGAAAATATCTCGTTTCTGAGAAAAAATGCAAAAACTGCAATGTAAGAGTATACTAATATGTAAATCCTAAGAATTTGGTTTTTGGTCATCTGAACGCGAGCGGAGCCGCGGGCAATGCTAGTTACTTATAATAAGGACTTATATATATATAAAAACACAAACATGCAAAGTTTCCGATTTAGCAATAACCTTAAGGTCGCGCAGGTAGACTGGGTTCATACATTCCTACTAAGGTATACTATACTGGGGATATATTTTCATTCGCTTAAAAAGCGAACAATAGAAATCACTCCAGCAGACGTTTATACTTAATAGTTCGGTTTGCTTCACTAGTCCAGTGAGGTCTTTTAAACGTACTCGTATTAAACACTATACGTTTTTTTTGCAGTACAAAGGACGTGTAAACTTTTTTACGTCCAGTATATGCAATTTTCGTCCCTATTTATCCATACTTTTAATATTATAAATGTAAAAGTGTGTTTGTTTGTTTGTCCTTCTTTCAAGTCTAAACGGAGAGACGGATTGGCGTGATTTTTTGTAAGGAGGTAGTTGGAGAGCTGGAGAGAGACAAAGGCTACATTTTATCGCAGGAGATTATCTCACTATTCCCACGGGAAAACAAGTTATCAGAATTACTTGAAATTTTCGAAATTTATCCCTTATGGGGATAAAATAGGGGATAACATTTTGTATGAAACTTACCTTTTTAGTTTTTTTGTAGTTTTAGCGCGAGCGAAGCCGCGGGTTCTGCTAGTTAGATATATGTAATCTCTAACATGAGCAGCATAATGCTGTTTGAACGTAGTGTAGAAGAAATAATTGCAATTTTATTCTAAGTACATTTATCTACTCAACTGCTTAATTTGTATCTAGTATCTAATACTTTAATTTGCTTTTTACAAACAAACACCTACGGCTTTTGTTAAGACATTTAGGAATGTAATTAATGAAACCCTACTATCATCTGTTCCTTTGTAAGATTAGAGTAATCCATTGGACTGGAAAGCTTTGGTCCTGCTATACAAGTATTAGAGCTCGTTTACATTATAGGTTGCTTTATATTAATTAATACTTTCTTAGATTTACGCGTATATTTGACATTTAAAAAAAACTATCTTTTCTCTCGTAACCATGATTGCTGTTAAGTAATCAAAACGTTGGGCACCAAAAATCCAAATAAATCGGCAGAAGAACCCGAAAAGACAGTGTTATTAAAAATGCTCTATATATTTATATTGTGAAAGGTAAAATTATTTGTTAGGTTTAAATGTCTTAAGATTTTTAATATGTAAGCTTTTTTATGTGCTGATAGTATAAGAAGAAAGTAACCTAAATTGTAAGATCCAAAAACTTAGACCTCTACTGCAAATCCCACTTTTAAGGATTTAAAAAAATGTTAACACGGGCTTGAGCCCGCGGTTTTCCGCAAGAAATATTAAATCGTATTTTACGAATAAATAGAATAGAATAGAATCTTTATTGACACAATTGTTTGTTGTTACATAAGCCTGTTGAAGCCTCTGACTCCCAAACTAGAATAAACCTGTATGTCAGGAGTCAGCGCCCTCTTCCATCTTTAATGATAATTGGAGGTCAATAATATTACGGTGCATGTTTAACTTAATTTTAGAAATTCTTTGTGAAAGAAAAAAATAAAATAAAAAGTCAAATAAAAATTAACTTTAACAAAAATGTACTAAGTGAAGTTACGTAAAATACAGTATAATATATGTGTGTGTGTGTGTGTGTGTGTGTGTGTGTGTGTGTGTGTGTGTGTGTGTGTGTGTGATATATCATTATATGTTCATCTTATTAGATTCACTATTATGAATATGCGTGTTTATTTTTTATTTTTTAATACAATAGCTAACATCGTTATATAATTGTAAAAAAAATCCAGCTCCAAAAACTAAAATTTTGAAGGTATATTTTTTTAAATACACCGATACGAAACTTCCCTTATTTCC